AATGAATGGGTCGGAGTTTTCTCCTTCTCAAACATCATCAATTAGCCATCATATGGTATCTTTAAGTGATTTACTTATGTTGTTTTACACTGGAGCTATGAGGCTAATGTAGCTAAAAATTAATAGAGAATAAATTAATCTGTGTCTCCCAAAATATATCATAGACTTCTATTATATTAGCATTGTAGCTCCAGTATAAAACTAAAGAAACAAAATTAAGACAACAAACTTGTCTTGGCCAAGTGGCCATGTTTGGAGAAAACTGTTCAAAATAGATAAATTAGATTTTTCAGTGAAGTGTTTCTTTAAATGGCTCCCCATAGCACTGTGATTGGATAGCCACAACTCATCTCTACCTCAGAAGATTTACTTGGTTAAGGATTTTTAAGATGCAGAGTTTTGCCTCCATCTCTTTAGTGGCTGTAACTCCAATTGAACGAGCAATTTTTCAAGACAAAACATGAGGGGAGCTGCTATGGTGCTGAAATGGCCAATGAAGGACAAGTGTAAAGGCCAAAAAATTTTTCCTAAGTGCTTCATTTATTCTTCTATGGCTCATGTCTCAGATACTGAGCAACAATAAACCTAAACGATGCAGGGGAAAGCACCGAGAAGAAGATCTATGGTGCAGTTACATGGTTGTTAACGAGGGAAGAGCTGCAATTTGTGTGTTCCCAAATACCCCTAGTGTATTTACAAGGTAGGGAGAAAAGGAAGCATAGCACTCTAGTGATCTAGGTTCTTTTTTGGCATTTGGTTATAACCAACGTGATGGTTTAATGAAAAGTAGCCCCTAAAATGAGTTGAATTGGTTGTAAAGCCACAAGTCCAGATTCAAGAGAACAGTCACCCAGCCCAGAAATGATCTGAAATGATAAGAAGTAATACTTAGGACTTTTGCCTCCTAGTCCATGAGCACACCAAGATCACACAGATTTGGCAATAAGAGATTTCATAACATTAAGTTCAAATGCTATATTCACATGTTGAACTGATGGGAATCTCCTCATTTAGTTTATGTTGAAACACTGCAGGTAAGATGCACCATGGGTTCTCGCGTCTATCTATATATTTATCCATACATATACATACATAATCTAAACCGCTTATCCTACTGGGTCGAGGTGGTGTGCTGGAGCCTATCCCAGCTGTCATTGGGCGGAAGGCAGGATACACCCTGGACAGGTCGCCAGTCCATCGCAGGGCAGACAGACAGACATACACATTCACACACACTCACACCTAGGGGCAATTTTAGCACGTCCAATTGGCTTGACTGCATGTTTTTGGACTGTGGGAGGAAACCCACGCAGACACGGGGAGAACAGGCAAACTCCGCACAGAAATGACCCTGGTGGCCTGGCCGGGAATCAAACCCAGGCTCTTCTTGCTGTGAGGCGACAGCGCTATCCACTGCGCCACCGTGCCACCCCTACATTATCCAGAACAACTTAAAAAAGTGCTTTGTTGTCCATTTAGAAAATTTGTCCTAAATAGTAAAAATGGTGTCGAAAGTACCCTTGAGCTAGGAGACTTTGATTATGTTCTGCAACCCTTCTGGAAGCATTTAGGAACCACAGCAACTCAGCCACAAAACATTAGACCACGTAAAGTTACAGAGCGGGGTCACCGAGTGCTGAGGTGCATAGTGTATAAAAGTCACCAACGCTCTGCTGACTCAGTAACTGCAGAGTTCCAAGCCTCCTCTGGCATTAACTTCAGCACAAAAATGCCGGGTCCTGGGAGCTTCATGGCATAGGTTTCCATGGCCAAGCAGCTGCATGCAAGCCTTACATCACCAAGCACAATTCCGAGCGTCGGATGGAGTGGTGTAAAGCACGCTGCCACTGGACTCTGGACCTGGAGGAGGGATAATGCTATGGGGTTGTTTTTCAGGGGGTGGCCTCGGCCCCTTAGTTCCAGTAAAGGGAAATCTTAATGCTTCAGCATACCAAGACATTTTGGAAAATTGTATGCTTCCAAGTTTGTGGGAACAGTTTGGTGAAGGTCCTTTTCTGTTCCAGCATGACTGAGCCCCAGTGCACAAAGCGAGGTCCATAAAGCCATGGCTGGGTGAAAGACCTTGACTGGCCGCACAACCCCACTCACCCACCTTTGGGATGAACTAGAAAGGGGATTGTGAGCTAGGCCCTCCAAAATCTTGTAGAAAGCTTCCCAGAAGCGTGGAAGCTGTTACAGCTGCAAAAGAGGGACCAACTCTGTATTAACACCTATGGATTTAGAATGGGATGTCATGAAAGCTCCTAGGTGTAATGTGTAGGTGTGCCAATACTTTTGTCCATATAGTGTATAATCTCTCCTTATATTATTCTCATTTACCTTCAAGAAAATGCTACTGCTTTCAGAGAGGTGATCGAGAGGATTGTCCTAGTCTAAAACTTTCATTTTCTTCTGATATCACAAGGCACAGAGCAAGGCTAGAATCAGCTTTTGAATGCTCTTGAGAGAGTCTTTTCTGGAGGATGGGGAAGCTTGGCTTGGTGCACTCCAGCTTCTTGTAGTAATGTCAAGTGATTTCACTTACACGTACCCACTCACCAGCTTGACTGAGGTCTTGCAGGGAGCCACAAATTGCTTTGCTTCTTGTCGCTCCCTCCCATTCCTTTCTTACTGCAACCTAATGCCTCCACATAAGTCAATTTCATGCACAAGCACATGAGCGACATTTTTCATAGTTTTGATTGCCCTGCCCTTTCAAAGTTTCGAACTTTTCTTGAACTGTGCCAACAAAATCAGCTGTCACGATGCCAGATAAGTGTAAAATTAATTTGCCCATAGCCAGACATCTCTTACCATTAAACAGCCTCCATATAGAACCATCTGCAGTGAAAGACTAAGTGGGTGGAGGTGGAGGGGGATTAAGAAGAAAGAAATGAAGAACACTTTGTGTGGGTTATAGATGTATGTATTGTTCTTGAACTGAAAAACTCTGGCTTTTGCTGTTGTGACTAAAGCTTGTCCTGGCTAGTTTAAGATAATCAAACAGCCAAGGACTGGATACTGATAGCCAAGCAGGTTTGGAGACAACGAAGCAGAGAGATGCTGAAGGAGCAGAGAGTCTGTTACGAAACTGTATTAATGAACAGTATAAAAAGAGGACTGAACATTAAGGGTAGATAGAGATTTACAGATTTTGTCAACAAGGAATGATGTTGAGGAATGAGGTATTGGGCATGAAGAAGATGAGAAGATGCCATTGTGAAATTGAAAAATGGTGCCAGAAGGTCGTCAGCCTTGTGGGTGGGTGGGAATGTGTGAAGCTGAAGGATATGAAATGATGGAGAAACAAGTTTAATGGTTTCTTAATCATGCACAATTTGCTTCATTGCCATTTGCATTCCTCAGGCCATCTACTTGGCACATACTTTGTCTTTCAAACTCGACAAAAGCAAAAAACATACAATTATGGAAAATCACAAATTGAAATCATGTCAGCTCACCAGTTCATAAATTTAGGAGTTCACACTTCAAAGTAGCTGTTTTGAAATTGTGCTTGATTTTGTGTATGATTACAAGAAATGGGCAACAACTCCATTTTAAAGCAAGACTGCCAACTTTCTTGAATACAGTCTTGGATATTGTCAGCTTTACTACAGAAAACACGTTTGCTTTGCTATCAGTAATTAAGTTTAATCAGAAGCTTGTGGGACTAGGACTTTAAAAAGTAACTCAGTAATTCAGCACACATTTGCATGAATGTGAAACACTCTAACCACAAAGACCAAAATGGAAGCGAAAGGTTGTTTTTATATGTAAAATATAATTATGTAACTGCAATAGTTTGAGGTGGGGTTTTTCTACATACAATGCCAACAGCTTGTTTCCTATTATAAAAACTTTCATTGTAGTGACTGGAAGTGCTTAAATCCTGAATGAAACTACATAAATGGGAATATCTCATGCAAATAGAAATAGTGACAGCAGTAAGTCAGCTACTGGAAGTTCAAGCAGCATTCCAAGTCATGGATCTCGATGTTTCACTATGTTTAATGGATAAGAGGGTGTTATACCAGTCACAAGTCAGTCTGACTGGTGCCAAGTTACCTCTAAATATCAACCATTATGTAACAGGCCAGGGGGTTCACCCTGAGTGAGGGTGGGACCCTTATGTTAGTAGTTGAGAGCACTGTGGGGCGAACCATTTGGCGGACACTAGAGGGTGGTCCCAAGTACAGAGCAACTGAGGGTCGGGAGAAAGGTGCAATTCAGAGAAGAAACAAAAGGGGCTATGAGCCGGGAAAACAAACTTGACAAGGAACAAATTAAAAAGAGAACGCAATAAACAAGGAAAGTAACTGGTCACGGGGGGGGATTGAACCCTCAATCACCACGTTGCCAGACTAATGTGCTACGAAGCTTGTGACCAAAGGAGATAATGGCCGTCCAAACTAAAGACTTACAAGGATGACTCAAACCGAGAGCTCCCCAAAACTGAATCCAAAAAACTCCCTCCTGTAAACTCACCCTCACCTTTCCCTAAACACGGAGAGTGAGACACAATCAAGAGATTGTTTTAATATTTACTTACACTGGAGAACAATTTGAGAAAAGCAAAGTCTCAAAACTCAAGACCAAGGTTACCGACTGAGTCAGAGCAATGTGTGTGCAGCCACATGATTCCAAGACTGAGCAGTGAGCAGCGTGTGAGCACCCCTTAAGTAGGGTGCCAACAGCTGCTACCTCTCAGCCCTAATTACTCAGTCCTGGCTCTCCAGCCCCTCCCAGCAGCCAAAGGTGGCCTAGCAGGTTGCCTGGAAGTTACACATTATTACAAGCTGAATTAATAACAGTTTTCAGATCACCAAGATATTAGAATATTTACAGCATTTCTGTCAGTCCATTTGTCTTTTTTTTGGGCATTTTCAAATTCTGTAAAAAATTACAATAAACAAATGGAGATTTTTTTTTCTGACAGCAATGATATGCACAATGTTTGCCCTTTAATCTTACTGACTGTGTTTGTTTCCCTGTTCTTTTAGAGTTAACAGACCCCAAGAAAACACCTGAGTGGAGAGTTTGGTGTACAGTGTGGTTCATGCTCCAGTCTTCAGACATAAAGCTAGCTGTCGAGGAGCACTGGTTCAGATGTGCCTCCCTATCAACCCATTCTCTTCAAGCACAGCCCTTCAGTTCCTCTATAAAGACCTCCCTGCAGAACCAAGCCCAAGAAACACTGGAGAATCACTGACATACTTGGGGCTGTTATAGACCCAGCAGAACTGGGTAATTAAAGGAACTACTGCAGAGCTTGAATCTTGAAGGAACAGATGAGATGAGATGAGATGAGATGAGATGGCCTTTGTGAACTGAGCTGGAACAGAACTTCAGTAGAACTATGTCAAAGTCTATCTGAGTAAAGGAACAAGTGTAGCTTTCTTCAACCATGACCACTTCACAGCGAGGATCATAAAGTGAGGAGTGTTCATGGACACATTTGAGGATATATTTATAGTGTTTGCACTGCCTTGTGAACTAATATGGACTAATTACTATAATTGTGTGGTGGTAGGAGTATTTATTTGTACTTTGTTTATGTATACTAGTCAGGGAATATTATGAGAAGCAAATACTTAAAGCCCCACTCAGGAACCACTGAGGCAAGAGCGCTACTGCACAAGGACGAGCTTTGAGTGAACAGTGAGCATAGTGGTAGTATGAGTAGTGTAGTCACACATAGTGTAGTCATCCAAAAGACATCCCGTTTTAGTGCTGTTGGTGCAGTGCTAAAACTGGCCTGGAACTGGCAGTGATTCCTGATTTGGGCTTTAGTGAATTCTGAATATTGGTAATCACCATTTTGAAATTCACCTCTTGCCATCTTGTAATTTATGACACCCCACCTGTGTTCCAGTGGAAAAAATGCAGCAAATCTTCACCTCATGCAATTTGGGGAGTCAAATGAAAGGTTTCTGACTGCAGTTTCACTATGATGAGCCCATTGCCATGAAGCACGATTGATTTTGACGAAAAAGTGATCCATGTGAGCGGAGACGGTCAGTGTACTCACAGCAAACAAAAGGAAAATTACTGTTTAATTCAAATTTGTGCCAGAAGGTCATCTACATTCTGGTCATCTAGTCCTAAAACATTCAGTAATCAATTAAGTAAGCTCTGAGTTCATATTTGAGAGTTTGAGAGAACTTATTTGTTATTAGTGGTTCACCCTTAAAATTAAGTAACTGAACTAAATGTACTTTTATGTTATTTCATAAACGATGAAGGCTAGTTTATGGTCCCTGTTTGATTATACTTTGTTGCAGCTGTGATCACTGGGAGTGAACAGCCATACCAGTTTATTTCATTTTAATTATGATGTAGGATTGATTGGAGGTCTTATGGAAACAGGTTATATCTTGTTTTTCATGAAATTCCCGTTTTCAAATGGAGTATCCAAGAAATTACTTGACCTTTACTTTTGCTTTATAATTCAGATTTTGCTATCAGTAGCTACGTTTCAAAAGCCGCCCCAAGTGGGCTGCATTTGAAAACCACTACATCTTCCGAGGCTGTTCTAATCAGAAGCATCCTTCAAATACAGCCGAGAAATGCAGTCTACATTTTGACCGTTTTCAAGGACACTACCAAAGTGTCCTTCACAGACATGTGCCGTCCAGAATCCTTTGGTGCACATCTGACCCAATGAAAGTTGTTTAAAAAGGCCGGTACAATATATAGTAGCCACTGTTTCTTTAGTTGTGCATCTGTTTAAGAGGGTGCAAATTGAATACAGAATGTAAAATGCACCTGCTTTTACTGAGTTTAACAGTTTTAGCTTGCAGGATGGCAAGTAATTACAAATAAATAGCTTTGCCTGCCGCATATTACATAATTCTCATCAACAAGTTGCTTGCCAGCTTATTGTTCACATCAACAGATTTTTCTCCATTAAAGTTTTGTGCACCTACTCCTTTCTTGATGATGTGACGGTGCAATCTTGGCAGGCCGTTCTGTTTTAAATAATGTAATACAAACAAGGATCCTTTATAGGACAGTCCTACTGAGGACCTACATTTCTCGGCTGCAGTTTAACCTATGGAACATTTTCATGTTTCATTCATTCATGAGTGTTCTTTCACTACAACACCAAGTGTGCATTATGCAAATACATTTTACAACGATTGGGAATCCCCTGTGGTGTCAACGATTCCTGACCGCTAGCCTAGCCGCTGATCTATAGGCTAATAACTACTACCGAGTTAGCTTTAGTGTAACTCTTACCTCAGTTATCAAACAAAGTAGTAAATAGCCATTCTGTCTTTATTTAGCACAAAATGGACACCAGAAACAGTTTTTTTGACCCTTTCAGTCAGAGAAAAGGAGCCAAGCTGCAGTATCTAGATAGTCATCTAGTTGCTCTGCTGACTTTAGCTATTAGCTTGTTATCCTCATCTGATGAGTCATTTCTGATGTTTGAGTAATCCATTCTTTCCATTTAGGAGATGATTTGAAGACAGTTACTAGACTTCTCTGACTCCCATTAGATAACTGACTTCCTAGCAGTAACATTAGCTATCTCCCGTCCTTCTGCATTCACCAGCTAATAAGGAAAAATAAAGAAACCATAATATAGGTTCTCAAATGTTCCTCCCACCTTCAAGACAAATCATCAGAAGGGGCTTTAACCTGAAAGAGAATACTCTGGCACTGCAAGACACGAGTAAGCATATTTGCAACAGATGTAGCAATGGTTACATTTTTTTGGCTGGAGAGCCCCTATAATATGTTTTTGTCATTTCACCCTAATTTAAACATTTGATTTGATGATCTACAAGCAATGCAATATACTTTATAACTACGCTTGTATTATTAAGCAATGTTCTGAAATGCTTGGAGCATACATGGCGAAAACATGCTCTGGAACACACATTGCGGTATCCTGTGTAAGGCCAGAAAAAAAAAGAGTTTAATGTTGTGGCTTGGACTGGCATCCCCCAACTCAACATGATGTGGTTTCTTAGCTCACTGCCAAAGAACACAAAAACAATACATGGAGTCCCTTGCCCTGTTACAAAATGCTCTCTGTATGCCCTTACTAGCTAGCTGTGAGCTTCTGCCGGATGAGTTACTTCACATTGGGCCAGAGCAATGAGTGCAAAGCTGTAATCCCTTGTTATGATCAATAAGCTTCAAAAATGGTCGATGAATTCACTGCGGGAAAAGTTACTATTCAAAATATGGCCATTGTCCAATTATGTGATTTCTTCAGTGGAACAATGTCATCTCATCTCATGCTGGAGCTTGACATTCCCTACACTGCAATAATTGGCCAGGCAGGAGAGAGGTGGGAAATTACTCTCAGAGCTCTGAGAGAATGGACAGTGGAGGATAAAGAAAAAGAGGAGCAGAGAATTTCAACCGCATCTACAGCAGAATAGTAATTTAATCAGAACTAATCAGGATGATCAGAAGTAACGATGATCAATTACATGGCCTCGTACTTAATAAAAAAAGCAGTTAATATTTGAATATCAATTTTATAAAACAGTCAGAAATTTGAGAATAAGGCTGTAAGGGCCGATTCTGAGAGACCTGGTTGGAAGAAGGACTTAGAGATGCAAATGAAAAGATGGAATAATATTAGAGTGCTTAGTTTACCACAATGGAAGAATCACCATTCACCCGTTTTCATTTGGGTTGTCTTGGTAACAGTTGCCTTAGTAACTCTACACCTGTAGACAGCAGCTCTGTAGCTACTGGTACCTTAAAGCAGGTGGTATGGTCACACACGCACACTTGCACAGCATGCACATGTGTATGCAAGGACACACACACACACACGCACGCACATACACACACACACACACACACACACACACACACACACACATATCTGTGAGCTGGTGTTTTGCTATTAGATAGAATGTATAGTCCTTATTTCAATTGTACTTGCAATTGTTAACTTTGTACTGTTACCGTTGGGAGAAATAAAGATATTTATAACTATTTCCAGCTGTGTTTAAAAGCAGTTTATGTTCACTTTCACAAACTTCACAAACAAAAATGTTGGAACAGTATGTCACTTGCTAATAACAGAAAGCTGTGATTTGTAAATCCATGTTGACCTGTATTTAAACATAAACAGTAGAAAGACAAGATATTTAATGTTTTACTATATGAACTTCCTTTGCATTTTTATAAATACATGCTCACTCTGAAACTAATGCCTGCAACACATTTTTTAAAAAGTTGGGACAGGAGTAATTTAAGACTAGCAATCATAGGAACATCCAGGAAAGGTCTAGTCCTTTATGCAGGGATAGGTTAAGACTCGCCACTTGCCAAAAAGCAGCAAATTCAGCAAAAATTCAGCAAATAACTGAGCTCATCTGAAGTGAATTAATGCCCAGTGGAAAACGTGTTTTGTTGTCTGACAGGACAACCTTTAGATTGTTCATAGAAATAAAAAATGGATGCTGTGTTCCCCAGGCCAACAAAGAAATACTTGAAATTCTAGGGTCTGTCATGGTATGGGATCCATTAGTGCCTGTGGCATGGATAACTAATATATCTGTGAAGGCACCATTAACGCTGAAAAATATTTTGGAGCAGCATATGCTGCCTTCTAGACTATGTCTTTTTTAGGGATACATCTCGTTTCAACAAAGCCACATTCTGCATGTGTTACAACAACATGGTGCTAGACTGGCCTCCCATTGACTGAGTTCATAAGGTAAAACTTTAAATATTGTGTTTTTGTACTGTTTCCAAGTTTTTATTAGCATTTCACATACTGTTCCAACTGTTTTTGAGATTTGTACCAGTGTGGCTAATTTCTTGCTAAGTGAAATAAATAAGTGAAATGGAAAAGCACACAGTATACATGCATTTGTATGTATCACAGTATTTGTTGTTTGTGCTTCATTGTTTCATTGTGTATTATTCAGTGTCCAGCACTGTTGAGAGGTGTGATACTTCAAAGCCTCTGTGGTTCGAGTCTCTCTGATGTTTTGAATCATTTAGACAGTAGCAGCTGATCCATCTGGCCAGACGTGGGCCTCACCGCTGCCCCCACACAAACTCTCCTGGCTCTTGTGGTTGTGAAACATCATTAAGTCCTACAGCAGCATATCTGAAGGGTATTTCCAGAGGGCACTGACAGGGCCAGCTGTGTCATGTCTGCTGCCCTGTTCTCGAATTAGAACCTCAGTGGAGATCCAGAATTAGTCTCAATACACCAGACTTTTAGAATTAGAAACACATCTACAGGTCTGGCTGCTTGGCTTTGTTTGGGCATTCTTTTGACAGATTTTCAGTGCTTTAAGGACAACTCTTCTGAGACTGCTGTCACCACTACTGCTTTCCTACATCAATTACTGTTGGCCTCATCCTTTCTTTCTTGCGCACAGTAAAGAAGACCAGTGATCTGAGGTGATTTTTAATGGTGGGTTTTGTTTTTATTTTATAATGATGGATTATTCCTGGGCGATTCCTAACCTTGCTATGGCACTGGGAAACATTTCTGGGAGAAAGAAGAAGGTAATCATGAAGGCAGAAATGATAGCAGCAGATAGCATCAGATTACAGATATCTAAATAAAAAAATCATTTATGTGTCTCTTCTCTTCTTTAATAACGTTACAAATCATCCAGCTATAATTCAGCATCATCAGAATCCCCATCACGTCTTTATTATTGGCATTTTTTTACTTTGTTTCCATGTAGCTGTGCATGTGTCCACGTTAAGAACATATGATTATAGCACAAGAAGGGTTGGACCAAGGTGAGCATGGTTTACCAGTGTTACAAAATAAAATCTGTTCACTGCTTCCTTTTAGGATCTGTATTTATTTTTTAAATGACATTGATATACATTGATATAGTATACACCGTATATACTACAGAAGCCCTAAAGAGATTTACTTTTTATCTACAGATAAAGTCCAATATTTGGTGTGTTTTCAGTGGGCAGTCTTGGAAGATAGTTTTGGTATATTCTCAAAATTACCAAAATGGTAAAACTGTTTTAACCGTTGCTTAGAGCATCAAACCAGATTTACATACACAGTCTAATACAATTCACAGCAGTATACAGTTTATTACAGGAACCCTAAAGGTCCAATGATTCGGATTTTTTTTTTTTTACTGTTTTTTCTGTGATGAGTTTTCATTTGTTTCCTTGAGATCTTGTTATACTTATTATCACAGCAAAACTAAAGTTCTCTTGAAATATTAAGATATTTATGTCATCATAACATGTTTTATTTAGATAACCTTTGTTATGTCATGATAATGACATTAATATTTCAAGATCTCAAATGAAAAAAGGCATTATCACAGAAAAAGAGTAAAAAAAAAAACATGCAAATCCATGGCCCTTTAGGGCTTCCATAACAAACTGTATGATCCTGTGAATTATAATAGACTGTGTATTTGAATTTAGTTTGAAGCAACTGTTAGGACAATTTTACCACTTTGGTTTATCAAAGCATTATCAGTCAAATATGAGGATCTACTAAGACTATTTTCCAAGACTGCCCACTGAAAACACCACATATCTGATTTTATTTGTAGTTAAAAAAGTAAATCTCAAAGTAAATCCTGTTAATTTAAATCTTGCTGCATTTACATAAAGCAATTTTAAAGAATTGAGATGTGTTCACTTATTTGAATTAATTCAGTTAATACAAGTACATGGTTTATTTTAGGGATTTGATAAACGTACAAAATAAGCAACCATACAAAAATCTTCTTGCAATATTAAAAGTACTGCAGGTACAGAAGCGTTCGGCTCTGAACAAGTGAGTTTTGTGCCTCTCTGTAAGGGAGGAAATGTCAGGATGTATCAAAACAGCAGTCTGAGGTTTCCTGTCTGAAAGCTGAAACTTTGGTTCAAGGTGTGTCACTACACACATCCCAAAGCATAATCTGTGATAGCGCTCTGATAAGTTCAGTGTAAAACAACCACAAGAAACTGTTTTACACTCTTCATGCAACACTTGTTTGTTGACAGTGTGTTTACACCAATATTGATCATCCAAATATATTGTATGAACACATGCGAGAAGTTAATTAATTTATTCATTCATTCATTTATTTATTTGTTTGTTTGTTTCTTTGTTTGTTTTTAGAACTTTAATGCTGTGACATTCATTTGGTGTGTTTGACATTGTAGCTCAGTTGCAAATCATCTCCATAACAGTTATTATAGTAATTTCTGATGACTAGCTTAAAAACATGCCTCTTAGAACATTTTACTACACTGCATTTTCTTCAACAACTCCTTCTACTCATTTACCCCATACAATCCCAGGCTTATTATGCTACCATTAAACACTCTAGAATCGTTTGTCATATAGTAACTGTTATTCAGTAGTAGTATATACAGTGTAGACTGTAATGTTAATTCACAATTTAAAGTATTTTGAACAAGACAAGAAGTTATGACACAGTAAAAAACATCACATTATTGATTAATAAACTGTAATTATGTATTATTGTAATTTACTGTTATGAACTATGAAAAGCTATTCAATCAGTGAGATTTGAGATTTATTATAAAGTTTGTGCCATTTAAATATTTGCTTTAAACAAATTATTCTTACTTCTTCTATTTTTGAACCATTTATAATGTGTTTGTCTGAGGAAGTGCCTAGGCAGATGAAAGGGCCCCCCAAAAAATCCTGCATATGGCCCTCAAATGGATAGAGCTGCTCTGGTAATGGAAATACATTACAATATCTAAATCTCTATTCATCCTCAAAGATTTCTTCATTTTTACAGTATCCTGCAAGTTGTTTGAAACTTACAGCATCATATTAGAATCATTTAATACAAGTATCTACAACAAAATTGGTTTATACTTTTGAAAACAATGATTCCATTTAATTGGTAGCTTACATCCTAAGACTTATTACTCATTAACTATATAAACTGCGATACAAACTAAATAAGTTATTCTGGTTTGCTGCCGGTTACTGGCCATTTAACAGGTCAATCGTAAACAGGTGACATAACAGAAGAGGAAAGGATGGACACCACTCTGGAGCCTTCAGATAAGAGGTATTTATTTGAGAAGAGAATGGGAGGTGGTTGAGGGCCCTTCATCAGGAACAGGATAGTGGTCCAGTGAGAGAATGTATAGGACAGTAGAAGGTTGGGAGAAAGAGAGGGTGGCAATGAGGTGAAACATGCTGTTAGCATCCATACCCGGTTATATCCAATCTGTGCAGTGAGGCGAAAGGTTTCTCATGTACATTAACACTAATGTGAGTAAAACCAGTCTAGACAGCTGCTTCTGAACTGCTTTCATGCCGTTCACAGTAGCAGCTGAACATTAGAGCCAGTGTTGCGCTCTAACATGAAGAGCTGCTTAACCCAGACGTGTACAGGAAATTTAATCAGAGGCTGTAGCCTTGGCTGGTCGGGAATTACTTGTTCTTATGTTTCTTGAACAAGGCGTACAACACTTTCAGTGTAGCAGACACATCTTGGGACACGATATCTGTCAGAGTGGAATGAAAAGATGTCATTGAAAACGTCATTGAGTCTAGCACTGAGAGAACAAGCACACATGCACATATAAACGTACACAGGCAGAATACTAAAGACACGGTAAACATGTGGGCCAAGACAGTCAGTCAATCAATCAAGCACACATTCAAGCACAAGCTGTCCAGTTTCTCATTCCATACGTCATTCTATAAGATCAATATAACAGCCATGCAAGATAAGCATACAAATCATCCTCATTTCCATTTTTCTCTATTCACTCCTTCCCCCTCAGTGACACGGAGAAGTCGGGGCATCTCGGAGACGAGACAGACCATCGCAAACGATTACGACCTCTGAGGCGAGAGTGATTCCCATCTAAGCGCTTCTGACTTATTCTATTCTTCTCTGGTAAAAGGCATTTGCGTTATACGTACACATACCAGTGCCAGCGTATTCAGACGTACTCCAGCAGTGAGTACAAATTCACGCTCTCAGCTGACACGCTGCATAATTGGTTCATGACACATCCCAGAGCCAGTTAAACGGTTTCGATACAGCCAGCAATCTCAATTAGCATTGCATTACCTGCACAGAAATGCTCATGGGCACTACAGCACAAAGCAATCAGCTAAATATATATATAGTAAAACAGAGAGGTGGTACAGAAATTACACTTTGTTTGCATGTAAATGTTCCTTTGGCTGTGCTTTGCTGTTTAAAGTCTCTTTTTTATCAGCTTACACAATCGTTTAAGTTTGGAATTGAGTTAAGTATTCATTGTAATGTATTGTACTGCACTTATTGAAATGTATAGTTTATCTCTTTTTCTATTCTCTAGGTATCAACATGGACTTTTGTTTCTAGCACTATCTGAGGTCAGGACTAGCTTTCTCTCTAACCTATTGGTAACTAGCAAAGATACTTTCTCTAGATAGACAAAGCACTTTTTGCACGTCACTCTGCATAAGAGTGTCTGCTAAATGCTGTAAATGTAAAATGTAAATGGAATCACTTGTCATAATAATAATTTTTGTTATTTTACTCCATAATAACTTATACAGTCGTCGTGTGTAAAAGTTTGGGTAAATGCTTTGTTGATTTGTTAAACACATCCTATACAGAGAACACACATTCTGTTTATTTACTGAACTTAACATACTGGGCCTGGGCAAAAGTAATGGCACATTTTATATGTTAAATTCAGCAAATAAATAGAAATTTGCACTAAAATTTGCAGTATAAATGCAATGCCATAAGTAAGTGTTCTCTGTAGAGGATGTGTTAACTTACTTTCATCAACATAACGTAATTTGACTGGGGGTGTTCAAACTTTTGCATACAACTGTAGACTGAAATAAATATATCAAGTGTTTTGGAAACAGCAACACGTTATTAATTTGCCGTTTTACAGTAATTATTTGATCTGCCTGTTTAAAATATGAAGCATTTTAGATGTTAATTTTATTATAAATTCATTCTGAGCAGTCTATAGCTTTCTCGGTCATTAAGAAATCATCTCCGGTTCTGTTTATCATTCTGGGCATCTTACTTTTTCTTTCCTACAAATTAGTTCAGACCCATAAAACTGTAGAGCACTACTATCATAATAGAATCATTCTGCAGCAAAATTAACATTAATAAAACAGTGATTAAAGACTTTGGAATGGTAGTACATACACTGAAAATGAAAAACAAAATGTGCTTTGAATTTACATCATTCAAATGTTTCATTTGGTTGCACATGAATAAAATATGTTACATCACAACTGCTGTCTTTGGGATAACTTTTGGCAAGAACTGTGTTGATGTACCGTTTTATTCACGTGCAACCGACTGACACATTTGAATCAAGTACATTCAAAGTTTAGCTTCTCTCTCACCTTCTGGATCAACATTGGCCACTTGTATTTCTTTGTCATTGAGGAGATCCAAAGCCAGGGACACATTGTGAAGCTAGATGTGAGAAAGATAAAGAAGGTTGACAATAGTGTTTATGAGCTGTAACCTTCAGAAGCTGTTATTGAATAAATTATCAATTGAATAGCAGAAAAGCATATGTCCTGGATGAACAGGTTCCAAAATAGCTGGTCTGTTACAGTGTGCAGATGCCAGTCCATTTGGCCTAAATGAATATTTGGTGTCACAGCTAGATTTGACATCTGTCGTCCCAACATACAGCCTGCCTCCTGCACCATTATGAGTGGGTGCAGATTGATCATTCTAAATGAACAGAAAACAATAGGCATGCTCCAGGGGTTCTGAATAATGGCAGACTGTAATCCCAACAGCTGCTAAATATAATAAGGGCAATTCTGGACACAATTCTGAAAGATAATGAAATGATGCAATGTCACAGGTGTGGAAGCGCATTTTCATGGATAACATTAAAAAAATATTTAATCAAACGCCCATATGTCAGTCAAAGAACATGACCATTCCGGACTTGTGTAATTCCTGCACTGCATTCTGGACTATCCCCATTTTAGACACTTGTCATTGTTACTAGCCATGTCAAAGAACAATTCACGAGGTTACAGAAGTGATACAGCTTGTGGGCTACTTTGCACAGCTCCTATAGGTAGGAGCTCAGTGATTGCAGAACATATCAGCAGTCCGGATGATCTTTATGGGTAAATATGCTACATTGTTCCATAGTTGTACTCAAAAGGCCTGTAAAACACCATCTTTCCAAGAACAAACAATAGTTAAAATTACAGTGAACAGGTATATTGGATGTTCATGATGTGCTATCACTACAATCATGATTCCTTCCTTTCTTATAAGGCTGGTTTTACTTCCTCATCTCAAAGTCATATGACCATTATTACATTTTTAGCTCATTGTTTCCATTGCATAAGGGAAAGTAGGTTCCTCCAAATGATGATAGCAAGAAACAACATATTAATTACATTTTATCTATATGTTGTACATTTTAAATGGAATCTATCTGCTTGACAGATTTGATGCCACTTTTGTTGACCTGTGGTTTAAAAATTCAGTAGCGAAGGTTAATCAGGTCCTTACTCAATTTAAACATCTATCTCTTGAGCTAACAGCATCTGACCAACATATTTATTTATATATTTTTGTTTAAGGAGAACATAGATGTGTTTAAGATACTCACCATCTCTGAGTGTCCATCAGGAGACAGATGGAATTCGTAAAGTGGAATAAAGAACCCTTCCAACTGACCAATCAGCAAAAGCAGGATCACACCATCTGCAAACTGATTACACCAATATTATGTAGCACATGCACACAATAGCAATATATAAAATAACTATAAAAGTGCATTTCTGTAAGAAAATGCAGAGTGATTGCACAGCTTTAGCAGTTGCTAGGCTGTTGCTTGGGTGCTGCCAAGAGGTGACTTTGGTATTTTAAGTGGCTCCTAAGGTGCTGATAAGCAATTGTTATGGTATCCCACTTGGTTGCTAGGGTGTCGCTAGGCAGTTGCTCCGGTATTCCTGATGGTTGTTAGGGGGTTGCTACATTATTGCTTGGACTGTCGTTGTCTATTGTATTGGTAATCAATTTATCTTGTCAAACAATAAAATGCTCTTAACCAACAATAACAAACTATGCATAGCTTTTCAAAGATTCCAAAATACTTTATTGGATAGCACCTGGCTAGCATCGCACTGAGTGATGTGGGGAGAGGGAGGGCCATCCTACCCCCTCCTATAGAGAGCGAGGCCAACAATTTGCTCTCTTGGATTCCTGGCCATGGTTGGCTTTAGCATCACCAGGGAACAAACTTGGGCCCCAAGTATGCATTATCTTCATTCAAATTGCCAACTATCCATTTCTGGTTTGTTGAGAAGGTCAAATTTAATCTATTTTAATCAGTTTTTACAGCTTTCATTTGAAGTCCAAAGTTTTTTGCTGTTTTTGGTGAGATGATCAACATTAATTTACCTGTTTCTCCATGTCAGCAACCTGTAGCCTTAGTGGTGACAAGTTCTTATTAACAAAGTGCAAGATAGCCTGCAATTACAAAACACATCAGCAGTCAACGTACTGTATAATTGGGGTGCTTTTGAATTTAGATCGTAACTGTAGTACAGAGATGTGCTACCTTCTTTACTGTGGCAACTTTATGTGCATCGAGTTTGAGTAGCTCATCAATGGGGTCTTCTTCTGTTGAAGAAAGAGTCACAAAACAGGCAAATCTGCTCTCATATGTGCTCTGACATGTCAATGACCAAAAAACAAGGTAATATTATATGCCTTGACTTACTTTTAGATTGTCCATCTGCGTCCTCACTGGAATCACAGCAAAAGTATGAGACAAGTAAATGACTTTAGCTGATATTCAGCACATATTATCACTGTCATAACAAAACCTCATACTTCCGAAATGGTAAGGAGAAGATTTTTTTACCATTTCCATTAGTTCATTCATCATGAAATTTTGACAAAACACAAAGGGTTAAGGTTAGCTAGTGTTTCCAAAGGCTATTAAAAAAGAATAAGGAAAAATGGAAAATTGAAAAATGGGAAAAAATTATATATTAACGTATATTATAGTCATATATTCGTAACAGGGACGCAATCTGATTTGATAGTCATACCTCTGCAATGTGATGAATTCTATCTGTTTGTCAGATTTGATGCCACTTTTGTTGACCTGTGGTTTAAAAATTCAGTGGCGAAAGTTAGTCAGGTTCCTACTCGATTTGAACAACAATAACCTCTAGAGCTAACAACATCTGACCAACATATTTATTTTAACATCCAACACATTAGCATATTCATGAAGTTCACCTCAAATGAGATGATTTCCACGCTGACATTCAGGGGCAGAGCCAGGTCGGGCTGATAGCGCTTCACTATGGCAACCAGCAGATGCAGAGTGGCAAGCAGGTCTCGGCTGTGGATCACTTACCAGCAGAGAAGACATAACCTTATTTAAACACTCGTGCTCATTAGGCCAACAATTACATATCAAAATTTCACTGGTTTGGCTCTGACTTTTACAGTAAAAATCAGAAAATAGAACAGCTGGCTTTCATACATGAAATGATGTAAAGCACTGTAAGTGTATATCTTTCTGATCAATTTAAATGATCCTGTAATACAATACGCAACACTTAATTTAACCCATTAAATCCTAAGGATCCATATGTGGGCCATTTCTCAATCTAATTTAGAACATGTAGTTTCATACTAAATACTGAATAGTTCATAGTAATTACTGAATTATTTATAGTAGTTGTGAATCATTTTTAGTAGTTGTGAATAATTAGTTGTGAATAATTTATTTTAGTTATTGAATTATTAATAGTATCTGCTGAATAATTTATAGTTATTACTTCACAATTCATTATAGTTAATGAATAATTTATAGTAGCTACTGAATATTTTAGGATAGTTACTGAATAATTTACAGTAGCTACCAAATAAAGTCTTGCGATTACATTCCCAGGCCTATTACATTCTAAGGCTTGTTATTCATTAATTACATGGAGAGCAATGTAAACCACATGAGATATTCTTAAGAAGTGAGGAATGGAAGCCTGAACTCAACAGCAGCTCCTGGCCATTTAAGGGGGTTAATAATAGAATAATAAGTCTGCAGTTTCTAAATTGTAATTATGTACAGTTAATTTGGTGCCTGTGGTACAATTCCTGTTTCAATGATGGCATCATGTGTTTAATGATCATTTTATTACTCACGTTTGACATTCCATTTAGCTGAAGTGTCTGGTTCGGGGTTCTTGTCAAGTTCTAGGTACTTGTCGAAGGCCTGCAGAATCGTCTCCAGCTTTCGTGTCTGAGCAGCACTGGTCAACGCAATCTCCTCTACGTTTAACTGTACTCCTGCTAACCTTCCTGAGGCAAAAACACATGAACATACAGTCACGGAATGACCTGTGTTTTGCCTATAGCAATCTGAAAAGTTTCTCTAATGACTGCTGCAGATGTAGACACAGATATAGAGGACAAAATGCCAGTTTCATACTCAGTAGGTGATGAAGCACAAGTCCATCATACATGTCTTCCTCCAATGACTGCACCACAATGTGCTCTGACTTCAGAGTGCTGTTGATCCACCCCACCAGAACCTAAAGTACACATATAAGCTCATGGGTAGTAATATTTACTCAGATACATGTAGTCAAGTAGAATTTGAATGGATTTGTTTTTCTTGTACCATTTTTAAATGATAACACTGTAGCGTGCTGAAGAGATGTTGCTGACATGTTAATTCTTGGTTAATTGTTCTACAGCATTTATTTGCTGGGTTATTCTACAAGGACTCTTATTGTGAAGCCAGCGCTAGTCAGATTAGTCCAGGTGGCTGGGAGAGGAGATGTAGTGAGGCTAGAGTGCACTGTTAGAGAAAACACAGGCACGGCTGTGGCCAGCTGGGTAATAAAGCAACATGAAAGTGCAAAAGCTGTGTCTCCTTTAATAGCGGGGAACGCTACAATATTGTTACTAATACTCAATTATATTTGTTAGGAAAGAAACCTACTTTTTAAGTAGCCATTTACATTGAGTTACTAATGTTCTGTTAATTCAGCACTTGAGCTGCCTTGCTGTTCCTCACACCTTTCATTTTCAAGCTTTAGCAATTTAATTTTCAAAAATAAAAAGGATATCAAAAAGAGATAAAAAGTGACTTAAGATCGTGGAACACTGACCCAACATGCCCTAACAAATACCAACAATCCCATTTTAGAGGTTTAATTTATCTTCCAGAATAAGTACTGATAAAGTAAAAGAACTGAGTATGAATGAGGGAGAATGTTCTAGAACAGTTTGAACACAAGAGGGCATTCTAGAATAGCATGAACAGAGGAAACATTCTAGAACAATGTCAATGAAGGAGAACATTCTAGAACAGTCTGAATGGAAGAAAGCATTCTAAAATGGCATGAATGAAAGAGAACATTGCAGAAGAGTGTACATGGTAGAAAACTTTTTAGAACAGTTTGAATGGAGGATAGCGTTCTAGAACACCAAGAATAGAGGAAAATGCTAGAAGAGTGTACTTGAAGTAGAACATTCTAGAACAAAATTAATGGAAGAAAACATTCTATAACAATGTCATTGAAGGAGAACATTCTAAAACAGTCTGAATGGATGAAAGCACTCTAGAATGGTGTTGAATGAAAGAGAACATCACAGAAGAGTGTGCATGGAAGAGAACTTTCTAGAACAGTTTGAATGGAGGATAGCATTCTAGAACACCATGAATGCGAAAAAAACATTCGAGAACAGTCTGCATGGAGGAAAGCATTCTAGAATGGTGTGAATGACAACATCACAGAAGAGTGTGCATTGAAGAGAACTTTCTAGAACAGTTTCAATAGAAAGAACATTCAAACCATGTGAACAGAAAAGAACATTGTAGAAGATTTTGAATAGAGGAGAACATTATAGAACTGTGTGAATGAAAGAGAAGATTTTAGAATGCTGTCTGGAGGATAATATTCTAGAACAGTGTGATGATTTTTTCTTACGCTAATTTTACTTTAGTCAATTTTAAATTAACATTTTTACTTGAGTGTGGATTTAGGCTGCTCTGCTTGCCTCTCTCAGGAGTTAATCAGAGGTCAGACAAAGACAAGGTCAGGCCTTTATCATGGTTACAAAGTGAAGGATAAAAGAAAAAAAAATCAGTCTCACCTCTTTAAGCTTTGCCAGTTTGGGATCATTTAAAGATGCAGGCTGAATGATCTTCCTCCGCTCTCCTGCATAATGAACACTATTGAGTGGTGCATCACATTTTATACATCAGCAGTCTACAGACGAAGGCATTTCATCCTTCATTGGCTGACTTCATAAGGAACGCCCAGACCAGCACATGCTGTCTGATGTTCACTCAATCTGATAAAACAGTGGTTGAGTAAAGCTAAAATCCTCCCTATAAAGCACTCACCCTGAAAAGATGCAGAAGCTTCACTGACTTGGTCAAATTCCACTTTTTCTTCCTCCATTATTTGTAGTCTGACTGGTTAGAACTGAAAAAACAGACACATAATTCAACAAACACTGTTCAGTCATTCTTGTTAGCTAACTTGATTCGACCAGACATGTTTGGTCTTCAAGCTTTGCTATTTTAGGTTTAGAACTGGAGCTGCCAGGCTAACAGTGGTAACAAACACTAGGAATTTCATACTGGTTACTTTCTACTCAGGAAAGAAGTAACTCCATTTCTAAACGGCTGCACTTTCTTTATTCTAGATAGAGAAGTTTTTGATTTTTTATAAAATATAGTGAGTCAAACTGTGTTCTAAACCATAATGACTCATCTGCACAACCTGAATTAAGACCCGGATGTGGTTTGAGAGATTAGCCCTGTAGCCACAGTTCTAAACTAAAGAAACAAAATTTTGACAGCAAACATGTTTTGGCTGATCGACTGCATTTGAGGTAAGTGGAAAATCATGTAAATTTGATGTATTACACTATAAATATAATTACACATTACATTGTTAATATTATAAATTTATTACACATTTTTTGTCAGACTTTTTACTGCAACACTGTTACCAAGCATTTCAGTGACTGACATAATTGGGTAATGAAAGTAGTGCATGAAAACAGTCCTAAACTGATGTTTTTGTTTATTTGATCTGGTTTTATTTATTGCCAGATTGCTGATACATGAAGTTGTCACATTCAGGAATGTTGATGTAGATGAAAATTGACTTGTGTTCCAGCACAAGTCGCCAGAGTCGCCCCAAACACTGAGCTGTGAGCCTTCCAGTGCTGACATCTCTGTCTGAAATGATCCGGTGGAAATGCATGCCGGCTGCAGCACTTTCACTCCTCCTCTCTAAACTCCAACATCTTACATACCAGCCAACACTGACATAATACAGACTGACAAAGAAAACATCAACCTGTGAAAACTTTCCTCACAGAGAGAGAGAGAGTGCGGCAGAGGGAGAGAGAAAGAAAGAAAAAAAGAAAAAAGTAAGTAAGAAAGAGAGAGATAGAGAGAGAAGGAAAGGCAAGATAGTATATGTATGTATGTGTATATATATATATATATATATATATAGAGAGAGAGAGAGAGAGAGAGAGAGAGAGAGAGAGAGAGAGAGAGAGAGAGAGATGTTTATTTGTGTGTGTTGATGCCTGTCAGACCTGTTCGCCACTCAGTGACACAAGCCTTCACTCCATGTCTAAACACACGTCTGAATAAACAGGCCTACCTCTCAGGATTGCTGCAGCAGCGTGCAGACGCTGGTCCTGCCCTATGCCCTCAGCTGTCCTTTCTGCACACCTTTGCAAGTCAATACTGTCACGATCAAATTCCCCCAGCACAAACAGGAATACACACACTCTGAGGCAAAATAATGTGGTCAGCAGTACAAGATGTTTCCAGGCTAACGTTGTAAGGACGAGCAAAGAATAAGTATGAGTAACTGAAAGATGCTTTTCTCTCAATAAGGAAGTGACAGTGAAGAAACAGCGCTTCCTCTTTCTGGTTCGGTGGTGTAGTATAAGCGGAAACTGCTCTGAAGAAATTTTGTGTGACTTTAAGTGCAGCTGTTTATAGTGATATCAAAGTCAGTAGAGTTACAGAGCACTTCCAGTTTACAGTGTGCTTTCTATTCAGTACAGAGCAGATGAATAGTGATGGTGTTTTTTTTTTCATTTATGTTAGTAAATGAATTAAACAGACTGCTTTTGTTGCTGTGACTGTTTAACTTACTTATGTAAATGATATCTGTTCTGATTGACTGTCCTGTACTGTCCCTCATTCAAAAAGTAGAATGGGCTGAAACACTCCTTATAAATTCGATGTGAATGGCTGGAGCTTAACTGCCGTAGACTGAATAGGCAGATTTGGAAATGTGTTGGTTTCTATGATGTCACAAAATCAACTTAGTATCCATATGTGTACTCTATATTATATACTGCAATTTATTTTCAAGAATGGTACATTTTGAAACCACATTTACACAGTACATCAAACCATGGTACCTTAAATTCCATAGTAAGTGAGGACAAATTGATATTTTGCTTCCATAATACAGTCCCTTTAATTCTGAACCATATATGCACTGTAAAGAACAAAAGGGTAGAGATTGATTTGAAGTGTTTGTGAGACTGATGAAGGATTGATGAAGAACATTGCCTTTTTCATCTGAACTGATAATTTGCTTTACTTTTTTTTAATCAAATAACTTGTTTGACTTGAACAAAACTAGTATAAATCATTTTCCACAGTGCATTACTTGCAGCCCAAGAGGCTGATTTCTTTAAATGGCAGCGCCTGCATCGTCTCTGCTTCCTTGGCAACCAACTTTTATTATATTTACGTCACTGAGTTTCACAAGTAAGATCATCTGTGTATTCTGTGAGAACTTTTTTTCTCTAAATACATAAATGTTCAACATTTAGCTAGTTTTACTATTCAAATTGCTTAGTCTACCCATTTCTCTGTGAGAACGATCACAGAATGCAGCACACTCCTTCCAGAATGCTCCTTCTCCTTCTCTCTATAAGGCATGAGAGCAGAGTCGGAGTCCCTGTGACAAGGAAGCAGCAGCAATTTGGGCAGGGAGGTTACCATGGTAACTCAGCAAATAGACAAGGCACGATTAAGCCCTCAAATAAACATGAGTTTAGAACTGCAGTGTTCACCTTAACCGAGAAGCAGCAAGGTTTCCAGCCAAACTCCTGCATCACAAAACTAAATTAAGCTGAATGTTTAGCCCATTTATAGTGATTTAGTTAAGCATTATATCACAGAAAGGAATGTGATGAGGATGTAACGTCTCTAAAAATACAAGACTGGATTAAATAATTAATCTCTCTCTCTGACTGACACATTATGACTAAAATGAGCCTATAAATGTAATGGATGTGAGCAAACTCTCCAATGAAGTTTCTCCAGGCAGACCCCACACACTGAAGTGAATTATTAATGCATATGTGCATGGAATATAAAAATGTATATGTAAATATGGATAGAATACAAAACGTGGCTGTATTAGCTCATATTATGACCTGAAAGAAAAATGGCAAGAATCCTTTTTTGTGGTCATAAAAGGACAAAAACCAAGGGTGATCAGACTTCTAACTGCTCCTGCTGATAAGCACTGATAAAAGAATGATCAGAATGCTATTTTCACTTATAGTGTTCTGCACCAAAGACAACACACTCCTTAAGCTTTTGAAAATTCTCAGGTGAACCTTATGAGGTTGACCTGTATTTCAAAAACTTTTGTTCTAAAAACTTTAGTTCTGGGACAGTATGTGAAATGCTAATAAAAAACAGAAAGTAGTAATTTGTCAATTCTGTCAGGGCTGTATTAAATTCAAACGCTAGAAAAATATGATTTGATGTTTTACCATATCAACCTTTTCCTCATACTAATTCCAAATTTGATGCCTGCAACATGTTCCAAATAAGTTGGGACAGGAGCATGTTTACAAGTGTGTTGCATCACCTTTCTTTTTAACAACTCTTAATAACCATTTGGGGACAGAAGACACCAACTGGTCCAGTGTGACAGTGGCTGTCTTCCATTATACAATCTTCAGCTGCACAACCATACAAGGTCTTTCATGTCATATTTTGTACTTCATTATGTGGCACGTTTTCAACAGGAGGCAGGTCTGGACTGCAGGCAGGCCAGTCAAGCACCCACACTCTCTGATAAGCCATGCCCCTGTAACATGCAAAATGTGGCTTGGTGTTGTCATGCTGAAATAAGCATGGATATCCTTGAAAAAGACATCATCTAAAAGGCAGCATATGTTATCTTTAAGCGTTAATGAAGCTTTCACGGATGCACAAGTTTCTCATGTCAAGGACACTAATACCACAAAAGACCCTGGCTTTTGAACTTTACGCTGGTAACAATCTGGTCCTTTTCTTCTTCACTTGCCTGGAGAACGACATCCATTATTTCCATAAACAATCTCAAAATGTTGACTCGTCAGACCACAACACAGGTTATCACTATGCATCTGTACGTTTCAGATGAGCTTGAGCCCAGAATGGTCAGCAGCATATCAGCAGCATATCTGGACACTGTTGACATACTGCCCCTGCTTCTTAACTTGCATTTGCAGATCCTGTGACAGTATTTATTAACAACAGTTTATCAAAGTATTCCTGAGCCCATGTGGTGATATCTGTCACAGACACATAAAGGTTTTTAACTGCATGGCCATTCAGTTGTGGTTTTCTTTGGATGAAATTACACATGGTAGAAGGTGAAATATCTAAGATTCTTGCAGTTTCTCATTGAGGAACACTGTTCTTAAACTGTTGGATTACAAATGCATCACCTGTTTAAGATTTTTTTTAAACACTTAACAACCTTCCTAGTCTAAAATTGCCCTTAACCCTTTTTTGTAACACGTTGAAGACATTAAATATCTTGTCTTTGTACTGTTTTCATTTAAATCCAGGTCAAAGTGGATTACAAATCACTGATTCCTGTTTTTATTAGCATTTCACTTGCTATAACACACATACCAACTTTTTTGGAATTGAGATTTGTAGTTGAGAGAAATAAATACCGAACAAGTAATTCAATTTGATATAAAAACAATAGGCTATAAAAACGTTCAGCGTTATTATTGTGATAATAAAGATATAATATCTCTCATACAACACACAAAGCATACAGGTCATAAAACATTCAGAGTGAAGCAGTTACTAGCATTGTAAACAGCAGTGGGCCTTGTTTGTGTGGGTTATGTACAATACAGTATTTGAGCTACCTTTGAGCTTCTGCAGTGACGTCCTTTTGGGACAACAGCGTTCAAATTTCCAAAACAGACAGATGACATAAAAGACTGCGTTCTTAAATATAAGTGGTGTGTGCGGCATCAGAGAGGCACAAGGCAAGGGTTCAGTCGCTGAGAACCTCTCTTTCTTCCTTCAGTCGGCACTTTTGTAGTTGGTGAAGAGGTTATAGAGGACCCTCAGAGTCGACTTCAGGTTTAAATTCACAACATCTACAACAAATACAGGCAGTTTTAGCACATAAAAAACAACAAGAATAAACAACCCAGTGCTAAATTAAAAGAATGAAGACTAAACATGAGCAAACGTTCATGTAGTTCTGTAAGGCAGGACAATGCGGCACAGACTATCAGGGCATGAAGACAGGTCCTCTCTCTCCGAACCCCATGAAACACCACAGTGAGGTCTGTGATGAGGAAATTAGGATACTGTCCAATACAGACTCATTACAGTCTCCACAGTTAAACAACCGTGTAATGTAAAATCACGAGCATCCATGTGCAGCAGGTAACAATGGAGACTGATCCTCCTAATGTTAATGTACAGAGCACCCTTAAAACTAAAAGGTGTCAGAAAGGGTTCTTTGCATGACGCCATAATAGAAACCACGTTTGGTTCCCCAAAGAACCTTTCAATGCATGGTTCTTTAGAGAACCATTTTTAAATGAGATATGGGAGTGTGAACAACATTTTTAAAGGTTAAAGAGCATCCACATAATGTTAGTTGGTATAAAAGCTTAACATTATGTGAAGGTTCTTTAAACCTGTGAAAGGTTCTTTACTTTTTGGCATCGCTCAAAGAACCCTTGTGGCTCCTTTCGTAGTTTGTTTAGCTCATAACACTGATATGTGCGTGGTTTTCTACCCTTTACATTTTGCTTAACTGACTCAATATAATGAAATGTAATTTCTAAGGTGTTTAGATCATAGTATGAGTATAGAGAACAGCCACATCTACAATTCATACAAACAACTTTGAAGATATCGAATCCAGATTGCAACAGTGACTAAAGAGTGCAGTTTAAATTAGCCAAAAAGGAAACATCCCACAGCAGGGGTGTCCAATCTTATCAAAGCGCTGAAGTGGCTGCAGGTTTTCATTCCAATGAAGCAGAAACACACGATTAGTTGTTGAAGGCTGAGACCAACTGAGTACACAACTAGAATCTGGTGTGCTCCTCCTGTTTGGAATGAAAGGCTGTAGCCACACCGGCACTTTACAGATAAGACTGAACACCCTTGTCCTACCAGTACAGAAAAAAATGCAGGGAACTATATATATGGTCTACATGATGAAACAAATGTTGCCATCTAGTGGACGGATTGGATAATACGTTATAGGTAATTAATGTCTGGAATATCTGTGGGCAGATTCCATTCAATATTACAGAAGTCTAACAGAAATATTTACATTAAGGCAGTGATACTTCTGTCTAAATCTGTTGCTTTAACTAAAAATCTAGCTTATTCTTACCTTCTGGTCGAGCTTTGGGTTTCTTCAGTCCTCCATCCTGCATCAACTCAAAAGCAAATGCTACATTATGTACCTAAAAGACACAGAAAAACATGTCACTTTCTTACACCTCACATTAATAAATTGTGTAGAGATGGCACATTGGTATAAATGGGTATCAGAATCAGGTCCATATCAGAAGAAAATACTGGATCTGATAGTGGGGGTAAAAAAAGAATAATCTGAACTAGTCCTGTAACAAATCTGTCCTGAAATAGCACTCACGCACACTGTGTGATGTGATGATGTAAGCTGTGTATTTCTTCCTGTGCTCATCTTAAATGAGGGGCTTCGATAAAAAATGGCTCATTTTGGCTTTGATAAAAAATGGCTCATTTTGAAGTTCATTAGTTTTATTTTTTGGATTAGTATCAGTATCAACCAATATACAGTGTTTCAATATTGGTATCAGAAAAGAAAAAGTGGTATCGTGCCACCTCTAGCTGTTTAGCATGACAAGCTGAGGCATTTTTGTGAATTAGGATTAAATGGAGTCACTGTGTCATCTGTTCAGTCTCTCACTCACCTTCTGTTCAAAGCTTTCTGGCGTGAGGTAAAAGTTATACAATGGCACAAAATAGTCCTCCAACAGACCCATCAGCAAAACCAAATATACACCATCTGCAAACTACAGACATAAACACACACTCAGGGCTACATATTAACAGATGTACAAAGCTCTTTGTGCTCCAGCACAGGCTATAAATGCTATTAAAAGGTCTTTCAGGCATGGTGTCTACATATGCAGACATTTCCATAACTTTTTAATAACACTGACATCTAGAACAAAAATAAAATTGTATAAATACTAAAAGTGCCCCCCACAAATTATTAAGTGAATATGTTCCTGAAGAGTGTGAAAATTTTGCAGCGTGACTCACCTGTGACTCCAGTTCAGTCACCTCCAGGTTCAGCTTGTTCAGATGTTTATTTACAAACGTGATCAGGGACTGAAAGAGACAAAAAATCAATATCATCAATTCTACAAATTGCACCACCTGAAGGTATCTATAATACAGTAGAGCTGTGCTGTAAAAAATATTCTTTCAAACAGTATTTTACCGTCTTGACCACGTTAAGCTTGTCTGGTGCATGGTCCAATAAGGTGTCAAAGGCATCCCTCTCTGCAGTCACAAAAAATTAGTAGTAGAGTGAATATTGAATATATAGTCAGTGTCAGATGAACATCTTGTAGTGTTTTGCCAGATGTCATTTACACTGTGTGAAAATTCCATGATGAAAGAATCGCTTGCAAAAAACTACTTTACATTAAAGCTACACTCTCTAGTATAAATGTGTAATTGCATGTAACATGTAGAAGAAGACTTTGTAACATGGGTTGTGCTTAGGGGCCCTTCAGTGACAGGATGAGTATAATGATTTCAGTGTGTTGAAAGAGTATTCAAAGAGAAGTGAAAACTGTGAAGGACGTGTCTTCTGAGGGTGTAAGTGAACTATCATACCTTCATCAGTATAGTGTTGATTTTGCATTTGAGACCTAAACATCAAGCTGGACCTCCTTTTCCAGCCTGTGCATGTGATGTTCATGCATAAAGGTGTATGACATGGTCCAAAAAACTCCCACGAAATCCAAGATGACACCTCTGACTTTCAAATTATTGTTATAGGTTTTACAGGGTGTCTCATAGCAGCACACACACCATATTTTAGTTTACTACCAACAGATCCACTCACCAAATCTTCCCATCATCATCCTGCAAAAGAAGAGGAAGAGGTAATACTGGTGTTACATGGAAACTCTAAAATGACCACTAGATGGTAGTAATCGACTACGTAAAGGCACTTACTCTGTCGTGGTTGTGAGTTCTTTGGTCACCTGAGCGGTCTGTAAGATTCCTTCCTTTTTCTGTAGAAAACAAAGGACTTGTGAGGAAATAAAGCTATTCGATATAGGATGAGCACATTATCTGTTCTTCAGACATGCTTACGCACCTTAACCACCACCACCTGCACAGAGACGTGTTCAGGCAGTCTGATGGGGGCCATGTAGTGCATGGCCAGAGCCACCAGCAGATACACGATGGCTACCAGGTTCTTAGAGTGGATGGCTGAAGGAAGAGAAACCGAAGTGAGACAGTTAGGCCTGCAGTCATCTGACTAAACGAACCACATGTGTGTATAAGTGGGAACATGTTCCTTACAGTGCGTACTTACAGTCAACTGCCCACTCTATTGTCCAGCCCTGAGGCCTGAGCAGTTCATTTACTGCTTCCAGTACAGTCTGCAGCTTCTGTTTCTGACCGATCTCAGACTGAGTCACCTCTGCTACATTCAGCTTACGGCCTGACAGCTTCTCTATCATAGAAAAGACACACACATGGTGATTTAGTCACATTGGGCCTCATTCACCAATATCTTCCTAAGTGTTTTCTTAAATTTGTTCTTGAGAAAGGTCCTAAGAAAAAGTCTAAGCCAGATTGATGATGTGTTCTTAAACCACAGAAGTGTTTGCACATTTGTGGTCTTGAGTGTATGTAGATTCTGTACTTACCTAAGAACAAATAGTGTAAGTTTGCACTAGTTGTATGCAAAGGTTTGGGCACCCCTGGTCAGTTTGCATGATTTGTTGATTTTCTAAGTGAAAATAAATGAACACATCCCCTACAAAGAACACACTTATGCACATTTTAATACACAGCTACTGTTTACTTACATTCAATATTAAGTTTTATTTTTTCCAACATGTTAAATACAATAAGTAAATTGAAAATTGTGGTCTAAAAATGAATGAAAAATGCAATATTTAAGTTTGTCTGCTGTAGAAGATGTGTTAACTTATTTTTAGTTAGAAAAACAACAAAACGTGTAATTTGACCATGGGTGTTCAAACCCTGCTGAACGAATGGATAGAATGGAAGTTCATAAGCATTTTATTTAAATCTCAGGGGAGATGAGAACTCAAATCACAATTTGTTAGGGCTGGTCCGAATAATTTAAATACTGGAGTATTTGTCTGATTTGTCTCCATTTGTTTCTCTAATTTGTATTAAAAAGCTTTGTCTTCTAACCCCTTAAAATCCCAGTCATGTAACTACAGGGACTTCAGCACAAACTGGTTGAGCTATTCTTAGGTTGTATAAGTGCGTAAGAAAACTCTGAACCTGCTGGGGGCCCTGGCCATGCAAGGGGTTAAGCCACAAAAACTGTAGCCTAAATGACACAAAATGTCATCCAAAACCACCTTATTATTATTATTTATAATTTATAGTTATTATTAATATGTGGAAAATGTTTAATGTAAATAAAGTATCTGTTTTAGTTGAACACATCATAAAACTATGCCAGGTCTCTGTGTGACCTTGAGCGAAAAGAATCATGTGTGGGAGCACAAGGTATATAACAGAAGCAGGACAAGTTTGATGGATCATCTCAAATATGTAAGTATAGTGATTCTTATCTGAGTACCACTTGGTAGGCTACCTGCTTTACACCAAAGTAGAATTTGGGTCATTTGTGCTAATCATCACTGGTATACATTGTTAATACACTGTTGCCAAATAGTGGATACATTTTGAAATGTGATCACACGTAAAATTCTAGTTAATTGTTTTTAAGTGTGGTTTGAGAATGAGCATTCAAGTACTTTTTTGGTAATATGAATAAGTATTTAAAGCCTGTAAAATGATGCTGGGGCCATGTCTAATACATACAAAAAATATTATTATTATTATTGTTATTATTAAAATGCATAATATCTTCAACCCCTTACCTTCCAGGTTTATTCATACTAAGGCTTATTATTCAATAACTACAGGGAATTCAATGCAAAATAATGGAGTTATTCCTAGATTACTGAAGTGTGTAATAAAACTTTGGGCGTGTTAAGGGGTTAAAGTACAAAAATCCTATAACGTTCCTTTTTAAGTTTTGAAACCCAAAGCTTTCTTTTCTTTTTTGTGTTGGCAGTGGGGATATTTGTGGATCACTATTTTTAGGCTTCTCACTGTATCCACAATACGGTAAATTCCATTTCCTAAGGACATACTGATATTGACTTTTATGTACCTTTTCCACTTTTATATATTTGATGTACTTTTTGTATACCCTCCACTCCTCATCGATTCATTAAGTTCATAAGCATACACTTTATTCTTATGTGAATTAGACTACTTAAATCCTTAAGAATGAAATATGTCTCCCACACTCTCCTAATAAATTCTCTTACCAAACAGCTTCTGAAGAACCTGTCCATCATATAGATCCTCCTCTAGATCTTTAACAATGATCCTCTCTTCCTCTAGCTCATTATTGATCCAGTCGATGAGAACCTGGGTACAGAATAAAAGCATTCAATGAGCAGCTTCATCATAATTTGGCCTCTAATGGCCTCAGTATTTGTCTTAGAAAACATCATTCAACTGAGTCTGGCTCGTGAGACAAGTTTGTTTGGCCTGTGTTGTTCTGTACAGATAAAAGCCTCTGAATATACTGTCATCTAGTATCGGTGGCAGCTAGCAAAAGAAAATGTACATGGAGAAATGTATGAAAGTGATAATGAACATACCTTCTGTAAGTCTTTAAATTTGGGATCCTCTCTAGATGTGGGATCCAACATGCTCCTCTCAGCGTTCTCCTCTATAAAAGAGAGTAAGAATATAGAAAAAGGATACACGAATGCTCGCACACTCACACATGCACATATTGTATATACTCTCTCACTCATAAACATACCTTCCATCCCTTCACTCCCAAATATAAGTTTTGCTAATGAGTCAGTGCTTAAGCTCAGATTAATCTTTTCCTAGCGCTGTGAGTCAGTGGTGACTCTGAGGAACACTGGGTGTAGTCGCCGCTCTGTGTCATCCAGCTGCTGCCTACCGTCAAAAAGTCCCCAAAGACAAATGATTTTACATGAGGAACTTCTAAATAAATGCTTCTAAATATATTTAGGCCTACATTTTCAGATGTGAAGCTGAAATAGCAGCAAGACTAACTCTGAGTTTAACTGAGAGAACAAACAGCATATAGTCACTGTTGAAACAAAACATCTCATCTCCAAAACTGTAACTTTACAGGAGAAGGAAAAAACATACTTAACCTTTAGTAGAAGTTAAAACAAATAGATTTGTTTCTAAGTAATGTTGGACCACTTCTGTTGGTCCATATATTATGAAATTTTAACACAATGCAAAGGGTAACTGGATTTAAAGTAAAAAAAAAAAGTTGAGATACAGAGTTTTTGTGCAAACAGCGAGGTTTGTTTTTACGTTAGTCTTGCAGCAAGGTTTAGGCATAAAACATACTTTTTAACATTCATGCCAGAGAGGTACACACAAGCCAGTGTAAGGCATAACACTACAAAAAGAAAACATATTTTGCAATTGTTTTTTCATTGTCAACATTACCTTTAAAAAAAGGACACGTGTAGGTTCAGTGGTCATTTTGGATAGGAAAAAAAATACAACTCCTGGTTCCTATCAACACCACTTTAAAAAAAAATTGTTTCTCTACAATGTACCATTCCTGAACACTGAAAATAAGTTTGTTTACATCTCAGCAATTGAATTATACAGATATTGTGAAAATCTGGTGGAAATCTAACAAAGCAGATAACTGCAGAAGCAAGACAAGGCGGCATTTGCTGTCTTACTCAAAGCACACTTCAATGTCAGAGTGAAACTGCACTGAAAGAATCACTGAACTCCTGGCTGTACCCAGCACAGAGAATTCATCCGATGTGGATACGGCGTAAGTGAATGAAGTCCTCTCGTTTTAAGGGGGAGTAAACAGTAATTGTGTGTGACTGATGAGGAAGGAGGAGTGTGTTACCTAGCAGCATGTCCTCTGGGAGCAGGTCAGCACTGGAGGGGAGGAGTGGAGCGTTGATGGCATTCTTACCCTCTTCATGAAGGTCACTCACTAAAGATACACAAAGAGCAGAGAGCAGGTTGGAAACTGTTCTGATTTACCTGTTCCAGGTGTCAGTGTTCGAATAATGAAATCACTATTTAGGTATTCATTATGTATCACAGGAGGTCAGAGAGAAAACAGGACATTGAGAAGGAAAGTCACACCTTATACTGAGTGGTCACATGTTGATGTTCAAAAATGTTTGCTGTACATTTAATATTTCAGTTCATAATTTCTCTGTTACTTCTGTCAAACACAAGCACATGCGCCACCCACTGGTGAAAAATGTAACTGCAATGAGAAAATTACGTTCTGGGATTTGCTGACTGCTTTCCTTCCCTGTGATTTACCACATATCCATTCATTAACTCTGATTGATGCTCGAATTTCAAAATTAGGATGCACTATTTTAGCTGGAACAAAATTTGAGCAAAATATGCTTGCTGCAGACTGTGCTCCAGTCCATTTGCAGCTACAGGAGTGGAAATCTCTTATATTACACCACTTCTGTATTTATGAGACCTTTGTCAGATCCACCTCTTTAAAGCTCCTGTGGTAGCCCACCATTTCCTCAATTAATAAGTTAGATAAGAGATGTGGTGAACATGATCAGAGCAGCAGAACAACCAATAGTAACCAATAGTTACACTATACCCCACCCTCAGCTGTCCATATTTCTCTCTTCTCTTTTCTCTGTAGGGGTCACTAACATCCGTCCATAGCAACAGGACTGTAATCTAATTACTCATTTCCTCACTGGAGTTCACACAGTGAGCAGGAACTACTTCATCTGCTGCCACACCAGAGCCTCTTATAGGGAGTGGAGTCAGACTGAAGTATCAGATACACATCAGAGAATGCTGCTGCTCTCATTACCCCCAAACCCAAACCCCTAAAAGCTGATTCATGACCTGTTATTAAGACGAAGGCTCAGTCTGTAAGGTCCATTTAAGGTTGTGAGGTAAGAAATCATGTAGCGGAAGCTAAAACAGGTTCATTCCATTTAACCTCTCAGCTCCAACTTGTCAGAATGTCAGCTCAGGCCCATAAAGCAACTGCCTCCTTCACTGCTCTTACACATTTCAGATCTAATCACAGTCTTCTAGTAAACAGTCTATAGAGGGAGCATGCATCTTGCACCAAATCAGCATTTCCTTCATAATTACAGTCTAAACATTCATGCTAATTATGCTATTTCCTCCCTTAGTGACTGTAGTAGATAAATACCTCTGGACCTCCGAGCATTGGGCAGACACTAATTTGAAACGTAACAGACAACCATAAGCAATTACAGCTTGTTGAGCATACAGTAATCACGAGATTCCAAAATTTACAGTAAATTTGTGCACAGGAGTCCAATATCAATCCCCACAGCAGAGCTAAAGGATAATACGATCAATAAGTATATTCAGCATTCCCTCTGAAGACTACTCAGCTGTACCAAACAGCCTATTCAAACAGACAAACAGCTAAATATTCACACTTAAGATATCATATAAGCAAAATCAAACAACGAAACACAAAATAAATGAATCTATAAGTCAGCACTCTCTACGCCACAAACTCTACCTTGCTTCTTTTTCTTAGTCCCACACAGCAGCCCAGCCATATCATAAAAAACTGTCCTGGATCCAGCAGGTCCCTTCAAGAAAAGTGACGAGAGAACAGGCGCGTGTATGAAAGTCTGGGGGTGAGCGTGTGTGCATGTGGTGGGTTGCTGCCAGTGAGGCTATGGCAGTGGACCCAGTGTCAGTACATGATATTTTTGTCCATGTCACAACCCCCCACCCTTCACTGATCCCGTTTCACTAGGGGAAGCGAGAGGAGAGGAGGGGAGAGGGAGACACCAGCGGACCATAACAAACATGAAGCCAAAAGGACGCAGCAGCAGCACACTCAGAGAGGAGAGTCTCTGAACAGGTAGAGTGCAAATTCTCAATAATATCAGTCATTCTGGTGTTGGCGTGTGTATAAGAAAGTGCTGTGTAATGATCAAACAGCTGTGACTAGTGCCGTTTGCTGTTAATAAATAGAACAAATTGATGAATTTAACCATTTTCAGTCTTTAGAGTTTGTTAAATCTTCATAAGTAAGCCTAAAATGAGTACAGTCAACATATCAAAACTAACTCTAGGAATTATAGGCTTATGATACAATTATTAACTTGTAACCACTAGAAATGACTCTGTAATTACTACGCTTGTATCTCCAAAATAGCAATAGTAGAAGGAAAAAATATTCTTAACTTGTAATGGAAGTTAATGTAACAAGAAGTCATTTTGGACCATTTCTGTTGGTCCACTTATCATTAACTTTTAACATAATGCAAAGAGTGAAGTTTGCAAATTATGCAAAGTAACAAAGACACAAATGGAGGAACAAGGTTTTTGTGCAATAGTGACAATATATAGTTACAAGAGCGAATCATTAAAGCGGGCGTCACTAAGAGCCCTTAGGATTTAAGGGGTTTATCTTTTGCTTATTCTATTAGCAATGTGTTGTGCATAGTGCTGCCCTGACTAATTAATTTAATGTTTAAATTAATCTGAAGGCCCTTACTGAGGTGCTATAAATCTCCTAAAAGCACTGCAGCCATAATCTTCTGAAACCACTTTCATGTTCAAGTCCATTAGCAAAGTGCAGTTGAGCAATGACTGCAGTCCAAACAGGGTTGCTGCATCTAACTGCGCTGTCACAGGCCTACACAGACCACCACTTAGCCAAAACCAATCAATACTACTCCTGCTTTCTTACAAGCAGGCTGTGATCTCAAAGTGCTGACCAAGGATCAGTTTTTGCTATTTCACTTCCTGAAGAAGAGGCTTACAGTCGAATGTGGTCGTATGACCTCTGGCCAAATGACGTTTAGATGAATGAAATGAAATGCTTTGTTGATTGTCTAAGTGAAAATAAGTTAACATATCTTCTTCAGAGAACACACTTAAATGTGGTATTTTTCAGCAAATTTCACTGCAGAATTTCTGTTCTTTATTTATTCGTTTTTAACATATTGGAAAACAATGAAACATGGGGATGCATGGGGAGATAGGGTACTTGTGAGCCTAAACAGGAAAATATGTGCTGTCTTTATAGGTCAAACTAATTTGTGCTGATTTTGCAATTGTAAGAATAAAAGTTGAATAGACTTAAACGCTACCTGGTTTAACAGTAAAAACAGCCATTCCTTCAAAACAGAACTACTGTGAAAATAGGAAGCAGTGTATTGTAAGGCTTTTAAAAAGTGTGAACCCAAACAAGAATTGAGTTCATTCAGAACACTGAGCTCTTACTATTTCTAGAGGCTACAGACTATGTTACTGTGTTCTGTAGCAGTGTTCACCAAACCAGTCAAAAAAAGCTAGTGTATTTCTTTAAGTTTATGAACATGTTAACACATTCGCTGTGCGGCCAAATACTGGTGACCAACAAGCCCATTTACTGTGATCCCCTATTGCTACTGTAAATTTAGCTTGCTGACCCCTATCACTAAGGGTGGGAAACGCAGCAAAATCTAACAGTGCGATACATGGTATGTGTCACAATATTTACTTCTTCTTTTTCTGCTTGTGAACAAACTGGAATGGACCAAATCCAAAACATAAAAAACCTATAGAAAACTTGAGTACTATGAGTCAATTACGTTTTTTTCAGAATTATAAAAAATAAACTATTTAAGAAGAAACAGGAAAATAACATGATTGGAAACAAATTAATAAATAAAACAAGATAACCGGTAAACATTCAATCAGATATTTCTTACTATACACTGTACATTGCTTGTTGTTTACAGGTTGCCTAATCTTTTTAATGAGAAATGCAGTTGTTCAGTGTTCTAAAAGTTCTGACCATGACATACTCAGAAAAGCATATTGTGGCATAATTTATCCTGATAATGATAACATATCATATTGCCTACCCCTGCCTGTTACAGTGTCCCAATGGCCTGTTTCATTATGACATTCACAAATTGTTTTAAGCAGAATTTGATTCAGCTTAAAAACATAAATTATAAGCAACATAAGCACAAATAAATCTACAAAAAAAAAACCCAAGATAATTAGGCTGCAACATACTTGTGTATGTTTCTAAATGAAAGGCATAGAACTAAATATACAGGATTAAAGAGTAAAAGTAATACACTTACTTTTTTCAGGGGCACTTGTAGACAATACAGTTAATAAACTCTATCATTACAAGAATGTGGAAGACAATGACTTGCATTTATGCAATTGCATTTATAGTGACACGTGTGACACTTGGGTAAAGATTCTGACACATTACAGATACACACTTCCTCCATGCTTATCTGAGAGGACCAGGACGTTTATTTGTACAATAGTAAAGTGTGCTATTCCTTTCACATTAATTTGTGGCCTTTTTCATGGTTATGAGACAACTTTGTAGTATTAACCCCTTAAAATCCAGTCTTAATACATCCTCTGGCTTATTATTCAATAACTATGGACAACAATAAAAACTGAGTTATTCTTAAAGCAGCACTATGTAAGATTTGAAAAGATTTGAAAATTGAGAGAAGTACCATTAATAAGTCAGGGGAAAACAAAAAACACATCAAAATAGTGCGTGCACTGCTACGAGTCAGCCTGCAAAGCCTGAAATAATAATTTAAAGTCAGAGGTGTTGGGTCGGATTTCACAGGACTTTTTTCAGGCAACATCAAATATCTTTACGTATTAATGTCACATGCACAGGCGCAAAAAGAAGATCTGACTCAATGTTTAGGTTTCAAATGCAAAATCAACATTATATTGATGAAGATATGATGACAATAGTAGTTATTTCACTTACGTCATTGGAATACACACTTTACTACACCTTGCACCAAGTTTTGACTGAGATCTCACTCGCAGTCATCAGTTTCATCCTCTCATGGGGGTGTGAAGCACAACCAATGCTACAAAAAGTTCTTCTGCACATTGTGTGCAATTACACATTTCCACCAGAGAGGACCAAATCACCAAAATCATACATAGTTCAGCTTTGAGTAATAGAAGTGTGTAATAGTGGTTTGGACCTGCTGTTTTAAAAAAAAAGACCCTCTGACAGCAAAGATTGGTGCCTTCAAGCATACTATGAGCATTTCTACCTTCTTCCTTGTGAGCTCCTACTGCATCATAACTACTATACTATGAGTTTTTTTCAGTCTTTTACTGCTGGGGAGAAAACACATAAGGCATCTGTTCCTCCAAATAAAATATCTCCAGATCCTTCAGAGACCTAGGAGACTTAGGTCAGGATACTGGAATGGCCACTGCATTTTCTTGTGTAGAACTGAAGGTTTGCTTTGTATCATTGTCCTGCTGGAAGATCCAAACATGACCTTGTCTTTGTTCCCTGGTAGAGAGAACCGGACTGTGATGCAGTCTGCTAATATTTAAGTCTATAAAACCATGTGTCCAAACAAACCTCCCAAGGCCTTTGGAAGAAAACGGCTTCGCTACATCATAGACCCACTACCATACTTCACAGTGGGGATGAGGCTATTTTCACTCTTTTCCCATCAAATTAATCTCTAAAGCCAAAAAGCTTTATGTTGTCTCATCTGAACACTCAGCCTGGGTCCAAGTGAAGATTCTGTGAGTCAAATTTCAGGCACTTACATTTGTGGTTTAACACCAGCAAAGATCTTTTCCTCACAAGCCAAATAGTCTGTGGGCAACTTGGAGACCTCAGAATGCATTATCAGCTTGATCTTTCACTGTGAGATCAAGCCGATAACCAAAAGTCATTTGTTTTATTTTTATTTAGCTCGTAAGGGTGCCAATAATTCTGGCAGGCAGTCCATTACAGCACAGGTTCTACTGTCTAAAACTAGGACACAAGTTCAGAAATATGAATAATACTCTGCCCATTTGTACTGAAGGGGGCACTGTGATGCCACTTTGCTACATGAACATCAATAAGGATGCATCTCTATGGGAACTGTTGGCCAATACTTTCCATGCACATATGTGTCAATGCTGATAGCGATGCTGATTCATAAACATTTATAAAATGCAAAATTGGGACTAAATTCACCTGGATTAGCATTACAGAGAAATATAACATTATTTCGGTAGAGTTACAAATACAGTAAAATGAAAAAAGCAGATATTTTAGTATAGTAGCCCACCATCAGCTAAACATTCTGCTCTTCCAGAGTACAATAAACACATCACCTAATATCAGACAAATACAAACATCTGTCCTATGCAACATTTTTTAAGCAAATATCTGCTAAAACCGATATGACTGATTTTATTGCACAGCCCTAAACATCATAATACTGTAAACTTCTGCTTCTCTGAGGGCCTGAAAACAGCCTGCTGTTTAAACTCTCTCAGCCTGGTGTCAATGAGTCTGTGTTTACAGAGACTAACACTGCTCACATTTCTGTTTCTTACAGGGTCTGTGGGGGAGCGACAAAAAAAGAATGACTACACACACACACACACACACACACACACACTTTGCAGCTGTTCCCACAACAGACAGGGAGAGCAGGGCAGTGTCGAATTAAACGGCTCTGTAAGTAGGAATTTAAATATCAGAAACTCGCCGTCAAAGCTGCCGGTCCTTCAGTTACACTTATAGGGATGTTAAAGCAGAAGAAATAAGTATTCGGCTTTTGTCTTAACAGTCCAGCATTCCGGGCATTGTGTCACTTCTATTTCTGTCCATTTAATCAGCTCCACTGTCAGTGTACGTGGCTCGAGTGGAGGCTCTGACCTCACAGCTCACGCGCGCTGTATTAGCCTAACATGTGCATTTATTCCCGTGTTGTTTCCAATGTAGAACCACAATAAACAGAGCAGGAAGCGGCTGCTGGAATTATGTTCTTTAAAGAAACGTGACAGTGTTTGATGTTTAAAGGTCCAGCTGTAGCTTTCTCGTGCTAAAGCAGAGCCGAAATCACAGCAGTCTGCTCTCACACACATACACACCCAGGCTGAAGGCAGCATCTTATTCGCCAACTTGTTGTTCGAATTTTTCCCTTCCACCTTAAATGCAGCAGTTACATTCTGGCGCCTCAGTTATATTCTCAGCTAGAATGTAGCTGCCGCACCATTTAAGGTGGAACGGGAAAATTCGAGCAAAAGGCTGGCGAGTAAGAAGCCAACTTCAGCTTCGGCTCTCTCTCTCTCTCTCCCTCTCTCTCTCTCACTCACACACACACACACACTCCACGCTGTGAACCCTGAAGACGGCTCGGAGAAGTGTGAGTGTAATTCCAGACGCACGGACAGGGACACAAGGATGAATGGAGACAATACGACACTCAAGTCTGCTTTCAGGCTTCGTTTAGCAACCATTCAGCCGTTTTACCTTCTTTTGACCTCTTCTTTCGAGCCAGCGTGCCTCCGAGCTTCCCGAGGAAGCCCTCGTCCTTCTTGACCCTGCCTGGATTTGTGGACATCTCGGCCTGAGCTCAGCTCACCTGGGGCAGCCTTTCTGAGGAGGAGAAGAAAGAGGAGAGCACAATGGCCGGCTGGACAGGCCTGAGTGAGCTCGAATGGCAGGGTGTGAGTGATTGGAGAGGAGGATGAGGGCCAGCCTCCACAGATGCTGCACAGCCTCCACCCACAGCGCCATCCCAGCTTGACAAACCCTGGAGGACAGCAGCCCCCAACTGACACGTCCTGACCACATCAAGAGCGCGTGTAGGATGACAACACTGCAGTGTATGGATTGTCACTTAAGTCTCTTATACATTGCGAAACCATTTCTCTCGATACACGTCTTCTAAAGATCACAAAGAAACCAAGTTTTAAAGGGGAATTCCACCGATTTTTCGAAATTTCTGCACAGTTCCACCGTTGAGGTGAAAAAGTCATTCAAGGTGGTTTGGTATGAAATGGTTCATTGTGGAGAAACTTACTGAGATTTCTTTACAGTGGTGCTGATAGGAACTAGGGGTCACAATGTCCACAACACAAATATAGCTATTTTGTTTACCATCCAAAATCACCAGTGAACCAGTGCAATGTTGATAACCATGAAAAAAAAAATTCTCTTTGGGGACTGTTTTGCCTTTCACCACCCTGCACGTACCTTTCTGCCACGAATGTATTTTAAAAAATACATTTTAGGCTAAAAACCTTTTCAAAACTATCACTAAACAATGCAGCATATTCAGAATGATTTCATGTAAAAACTTTCTGTGAGGGAGCTTTTAGAGGAATTAAACTCTTCAGACGTCTGGTTCCTGTCACTATCACTGTGACTAAGCACGTTTCTCTAGAATGGTGTCTGTCAAATTAAACCACTCTCAAGAGTACCTATAAGATTGTAGTCTACGTTTTCATATTTGTTCATGTCATATGATCTCGGTGGTTTTCTGCAAAAAAAGGTCATTAATCCTGTTTTGTCACTTCGGTTTACTGAATTGTCCCTCTATTCCAGTACAAAAACACCAAAATGTCAAAATATTACAACACTTGGAAAAGAAGTAAATGCAAAAAGAAAGTCATCAGAAATGAACAGCTATTTGATGAAAATGGAATGAAGCAGTAGATGATTTTTATTGGAATGAAGGACCATTTAAAAAGGAAGACTACATCAATGTTCCCTGATAACCATTTTTCTGTAAATCAGGAAGTGTTTCATAATGTTGATGAACTGACTACACTGGGAGAGGCTCACCCCCAAGTCAAATCTAGAAATGCGTTGCTGATTTGACTGGGTGCTGTAACAGCACAGCACTTCAGTAATCACTAAATTCAGGTCACAGATACACATTCCACCAAAGACAACTAGCTGACAGTAACTAAGAATGACCCTTTAATTGTATAGAAAACTGACTGTATAAAAATATAACAGTATAGTTATTGTAGTCTTGTAATCTGGGTGTGACCTAAGGGAGGTATGAGTGTGTTCATCCATCTTGACTCTCTGTTCTGCTTTCTGAAACTGAAAATATACACACACACACACACACACACACATTCATATTATGCACTTTGAGCTTTGTACTGAACATTTCATTCACTGCTCACAACTAAAGAACAATTTACAGCATCTGAAACATTACTGACAATTAAGCAATGAGAGACTATTTGCTGTCAGTAAAATGCTGCTGTTGTACTTCTGAACATGAAAAAACAAAAACAAAAAAAGCTCACTTGTGTTTAACAGTAGACCCCATCGGCCCTGCAGTCTCAGTCTCTGTGACTCTATAGCCTCCACATCCTCAGCTAATGGAAGACCCAGAGGACTGAGAGAAGGAGCAGGAGACCCAGAAAGAGAAGCACATGTAGCTCTCACCATGTCTCCATCACAGCCCTGCTTTATAAACACAGAAATATTAAACTCCCTTAAAACTAATGTAGCTTAAGTTTTATGTATCAAAAATGATCAGTTCATTTTTCACATGACTATTTTCCAGCCTCCCTTTATCCCTTACAATTAAACAGGCTGTTTTTGTTACTGTGCCTATAAAACTGACGTAGACTGAAGAGGTAGAATAGGGCATATGTGGAAATTAGTTGGTTCTTGCAACATCATAGAAACAATGAATTCAAAACAGGCTGTTTTTGCAGCTTAGTTTCCATATATGGACTCTGCAGACCGCAGAATGAACTGTACATTGTGAAACTTACAGTGTTCACATATTACTTCAAAAAAGTGAGAATAATTTGGTTGTCCAGGATATGGCCCTTTAAGGCAAAAATATAACATCATGATACTTGAAGACATTTTCATGATACAATATGCATCACAATATTTAGTTTTTTCTAAGAATATTTTGTTATTTTTGTTGGAACAGATAAAATACACCAACCAAATTGTACCGCAACATTTCTAAAAAGGCTATAAAAACCTGAGGGCCAATTTTTAGAAATTCAGCATTTAAAAAAGGGAAGAAAGTAACAGGAGAAAAAAAATGAATTAATAAAAAAAGATAAAGACATAATGGGGTGTTATTCAATCAGCTACACATTTCTTTACCTACTATTACATAAAAGACAAGACACATCTGGCCAGCACAGGTGAAATTTCCGATAGCATAGTCCTACCATACCCACATGGCAATGACTGACCTGAAGTAGGGTCAACGTCCTGCCCTGTGCCAATCCCTGCAGCAGGCTGCTGATCTGGGCCCAGACTGACACCTCCAACCCAGCACTGCCCGCCAGGACCTCCAGCACCAGGCCAGGACCAAACTCATACGCCAGAGGCAGGAGCAGACCCAGCATGGCCTGCATCACACTCGCCCTGCAGCGCCCACCCTGCAGCAAGCAAAACAAAGATATGGCAATGCTGTTCTGCCATCGTTACTGAATGACTGTGCTGCAAACAGTTAAAGTACAGTAAAGCTGTAAGTGCCAAAGCATGTTTAACCCTTTGATGCACAAGTCAAAAATGGCCCATATTGATTTCCTTATTCCTTATTATTTATAATAGTGTTTCTTTGCAATATCTTTTGAAATAAATGTATCATCTAATATTCTAATTCTTCATTAAATACCTTTTTTGGGTCAAAAATGACCCAAATTGTGTAAACGTTATGTAGTAATACAAAAAATTATTTTTCTTCATAGAGTAAGAAAAGAAGAATGAAATCAATTATGTACAGTAATAAAAAAAAACAAGATATTTAATGAATACCTGCATGAATTAAATAACATAGGAAATAAATGCGGGTCATTTTTTACTCATGCTGTGCATTAGAAGCGTAGTGATATAAAATGATTTTTATTTAAAAAGTAAGAATAGAATTTGTGATGATCAACAAGCTAATTGAGGAAGACATGGAATCCTGAACGATGAAAATAATTTATTGCAAAGATATAGAAAATAAAAAACTCAGTCGGGTCACTTTTGACTTTTTTGTTGTGCATCAAAGGGTTAAAAAAATAACAGATTTACAGTTGTAAAATTACATTGTTTTGTTGATTTTCTAAGCGACAATAAGTTAACACATCCTCTACAGAGAACACAATTCTGCACATTTTAATACACACTTACTGTTTTCTGCTGAATTTAACATTTTGGAAAAAATAAACATAAAATGTGGCCTGTGCAAAAGTTATGGCTAAGTTATTTACTGTCCAATATATTAAACTCAGCAAATAAACACAAATCATGTGTTCTCAGTAGGGGATGTGTTAACTTATTTTTACATAGAAAATCAGCAAAACATGTCATCTGAGTTTTGCATCAAAATTTTACATACGACTGCATTTTTACATAAGAGATCATGATTATGAGAAAGAAATAATTGAGGGTGAAGTTGGGCTAAACACTCTACATGCAAGACACTCTACATGAAATAAAAAAGAAATAAAATGCTGGGTAAACTAAGCATGCAGACAGCATACATAGTTCACTGCTTTTCAGCTAACTGGGCCTCCAAAGACCCAGCAATATAAACTTGCTATTTTTTGGAGATTTTTTAAGATGTAACATGTAACATATATAAATGGCACATTAAAAACAAACATGATTTCCTCCTTAACTCTGAATAACCAGATCTTCTGTACAAACAGGAGGTGTTTAACCAAAAAAGAGTGTAATTCTGCCTTTAAACTACCAGGCCACCACATTTCCATACACTTAAATAGCCTTGGTTAATTCAGTGAGATTAAGAGAGATGTAAGAATTCTGGGCAAAGATGAATACAGACAAAATGATAGTCAGTCATATCATAGAGTGCAATAAAGGCAACTAATCTGTCTTAATAATGTACTTGTCAATGGTTCATATCACACACCTTTCTCAGACACACAGGCACGTGGTAGTGAGACGTCACCCCTTCAGGCTCCTTACTACAGAACTGCACCAAAAGCACTCTCCTACACACACAAAAATACTTTGTTTTATTTATTTATTTATTATTTATTTTTAAATCTACCTCACAGAGAAACAAACAATGGTCCTTATTTATTACTGTGTATGGTCAAAGCTGAACCACTGCAACTATTCCATGTTCCACTTAGAGATGTACTACAGTGTGCTTTTGTACACTATAAAGTTTGGTCAGTAGAGACAGCAATGCACTTACTGCTCCACCTCAAACTCCACCTATGAGCAGAGCCATTGGCTCACGAAGGCATGCTTTACATATGTGATATGAAGCTGATTAATCATCTGCACTCAAATATCTGTTTTTCCTTGCAAGAAAGTTTCATGAAGCAGATGCAGAATAGTTCATACATCATTAAAGGCAGTCAAATCTCTGTTTTTTATGCAACTCTGATGATTAAGGTCCATTATGTCTAAACAGTGTGAGAGAAAAACACTAATTTCTGAATAGCTGATTAAATACTCACCCACTGCTAATGTCCACTGTAACATCATCGTCCCCCACAAATACCACCAAGACCCTGAAATAAATCGTATACATTAGCATTCAGCATCACACAGTATTTGTCTAGTGTGAATTTCAGAAGACATTTGATCTTAAAACAATACTTTAACACATTAAGAAGGAATGATTGAAGATGAAGTGCATACCGATCACAGAGGGACTTTAAGGCATGCTGTACAGCACAGCTCACAGATACACACACATCAGGCACCACCACCAAGCCATTACGCACCTGCCAATGGTTGGCAGTTAGGATTGTGCATGTCATGTACAAACTGTTTTAGTTTAGAGTGATGTAAACTTGCACACATTGCTAAAAAAAACCTTGTATCCTTTATAACTGTATAATCAATATGCAAAATATAAAAGTGAGTATTTGTTATTTGTTATATCAGATAAAAACACTCAAAGAACATGAAGTGAAATGCAGAAAATTAAATGAAGATGGGAAGTTTTCTCCAACAGAGATGCTGCATAAATCTAAAGGCAAACACCAATTCTGTAACAACAGACGGAAGGAAAACAGGACACTTCCTGTCTGCATGAGCTTTTATCTAAGCATCTACTCTGATGAAGGCCCATGTTGAAACACACTTGGGTTCTCCAAGTTACTCTTGTTTGTACACTTTACATTTCTGATGATTATGACAAACATCTCAAGCATTCAGACGGAACAATTATTCAACAGGTTTACCCCTTTGCTCTTGATTTTCTCCAAAACTGAAACAACATTCTGGAGGCACTCTAATGACTTCTCGTGAGTCATGTCTTCAAAATGTTCTTTCCTGAAAGGAGAATATATTGTTTTTATCAAACTTTTTGATTAAAAACATGCATGTTTTGTTCACTTTCTAAGTAAAAAAAAAAAAAAGTTAATGAGTGCTCTACAGGGAACAAACTTAAATACAGCATTCTGCTAATGTCAGTGCACACTTTCCACTTATTTGCTGATTCTAACATATTGGGGAAAAAACAAAACATAAAATACAAAATGTGGCATAACATCATGATCTATTTTTTCCCAATATGTTAAATTCAGCAAATAAACAGTAATTAAAATGTTAAAATGTACAAATGTGTGTTCTCTGTAGATGACATGTCAACTTATTTTCACTTCAGGGTCAACAAAATGTAATTTGAGCAGGGGGTGTTTAAACTTTTGCACACTACTGTGGCAGGCTTGCATAATGATGTGTCATTGTTGGGTTAAGAATAGCCTAACAACTAAAAATATCTCCAGCCAACAGGGGTCCTGTTGTCAGAAAGGAAAGCCCATCAGTTATGAAGGTTTAGAGGATGACTAAAACAAACTGTGCATGAGGAAAGAGAAGTTATGGTCTGTAACCAACAGGGGAGCTGTGTCAATGAGGCTATTAAGTGTACACAGTGTTTAAAAACATTAACGATGCTGCTGCCACTGATGCACAACCACAATGTGCCACTAACATGTCACTGCTGTGCTGAGAAAAAAATCACCAGCCAAACAATATCTGGTCTGCAGTGGTCCTATGGTGGACTGTTTCCATTGATGGACAGGACAGATTCTTAGATTCTGATTTTCTCAATCAAAAAAATTACTAAATTACTAAAATTACTGGTTGAGCTACACACTTGGCTTAGTAAATGGCTAACCTGAGTCTTTCTGCCTCCTCAATATAGGTCTGTGCTATTTCACCCAGGTACTGACAGCCCTCTGGCAATGAGCCATCAAGTTCTGTGGTGATCACCACAACTGTGTGTACAGGAGGTGCAGGGCGCGGTAAGGGTTCAGGCCACTTAATATCCTCAGTCTTCTCCTCTGTTTTGTCCTCCTCTTTCTTCTCTCCATCTCCTTCTTCCACTCTGCAGCGCTTGGTGCTTGGCTCTGAGACTGTAGATTTAGCTACAAAAGCAGGGTATATGCCAAAAATACCTATTGATTTGACAGCAATCAGTAAAGGCTGTATAGAGAATGCTGATTGTGACCAATATATGTGGCAACGTTATTCCCCTGAGGAAAAGTGAAAAAGCTATTTAAACATTTACAGGTCTGTGTGAGATAAACCTTTTTATATCAAATCATGTACAATAAGTAACATATCCTGTGATTTGAAATTGTATTTTTGTGGCTTGCATATCTAATCACACACTGCTGTTTCAATTCTCTTAATGTATCGTTAAGGTTTAATGTACCTTTCAGCAAAGACAAGAAGTCAGTTGTTCTAAGGCAGTACTCACTTACCTGTATGTTCGAAACAGCCCCAGTACTTCTGGTGAACAGCTCGAACATTCTGAACAGACTCCAGAGCACTGAAGAGTGGAATGTTAAGATACAAAACGAATGTTAAGCTAAATTATACACGCTTGTACAAAACGTCGCTGTCGGAACAAAACCTTGTATCTCCAAAAACTAACTTTACAGTAAAAGAAAAATATTATTAATTTGTAACGAAACATAATGTAACAATTTTTCTCTGAGTAGTTTTGGACTATTTCTGTTGGTCCATTCATCATGAAATTTTAACACAATGCCAAAGGCAAACTGGAGTTTTCAAAATATGAAAAAAAATAATAAATAAAATCGACAAAAATGGCGATACAAGGTTTGTGACATTAGCAAAATACAAACTTATAATTACTCTAAGCCAAATGGATTTAAAGAGAAAGATATATATTTTTTCTAAAAACAAAAAAAGCTAAACCCACCTGTGACATGGGGAGCCAATACCAGTCAATAAGGATGTTGGGTCTCCGAGCAGGGTCTGCAATGTCTGGCAAACTGACTGGGCAAGCGAAGTCAAGTTATACCCACCCTAATGGAAAAAACAGGAGGACTCATTTTCTACCAAAAAAAAATAAAAAATCATGAACACGAGCGTGTATTTCGGTTCATAGCGTTGAAAGCAATCCCACCTCTAGGACAACACACAGCCTGCCATTGGCCAGAGACATCAGAAGGTGTGTAAGGTGGCCAAAAATCTCTGGAGTGGCACACATGTGACCCTAGGGAAAAAGCCAAGCAAACCGATTAAACCCCTATGGACCCTCACACAGCAGGTATTTTTGCTTGGTGGACTATTCTCAGTCCAGCAGTGACACTGAGGTGTTTAAAAACTCCAGCAGCACTGCTGTGTCTGATCCACTTTTACCAGCACAACACACACTAACACACCACCACATCAGTGTTACTGCAGTGCTGAGAATGATCCACTGTACCTGCTCTGTAAGGGTCCATGGGGGTCCATGAACAGGGTAAAAGGGGGCTAACAAAGAATATATATATATATATACACAAACACACACTATAACATATATGTACAATGCAGGAGTGTTTTGTTGACATCGATTAAGCCTAAGAGGATGGGGATGGGATGTCATTATAGGGGGAAAAAAAAACTTTGTTGTATTACAATGTTGAAAAACTTGCTCTAGAAACTTCAGTTTCTCACCTCTGGATCTCCTATTCCAGAATCAAACCCTGCACAGACCAGCACCAGCTCAGGATCAAACTGGAACAACAGTCAGCAGTATGGTCAATAGTTACTCTGGTGCATGTATCAGACACGCTTACATTTCTGACTATTAAAGGGGAATTCCACCAAAGTTACTAAATTTCTGCATATTTGAATGGTTAAGGTGTAAACAGTCATTCAGAGTGGTTTGATGTGGAATGCTCCATTCCAGAGAAACGTTTTATGTCAGAATTGTTCAAAGTGGAAGAGTTTGGAACCAGACATCTGAATAGTTTAATTCCTCTAAAATCTCCCTCACAGAAACCTATTACAATAAATGGTTACGAATATGCTGCCTGATGCTTTAAAAGTTGTTTTACATTCTTTTTCAGATATGGTTTTAGCCTAAACAAGTTATAGAATACATTCTTTATGGAGAGGTAAATACAGAGTGCTGTTGAGCAAAATAGTCCCCAACAAACTTTTTTTACCATTGTTTTACCAATATCAGTATTACACTGAAAACACATATGACTCATCATTTTCAATAAATGACTATAAAATGGCCACATCTGTGGTGTAGACATTGTGACTCCTGGTTCCTACCACCACTGTAAAGAAATCTTTTCTAAGAATTCTCTTTCCCTTCTCTTTGTAAAGAATGCCTGGGTTTGTAAAAGGCGCTTTATAAACAGAGCTTCTTACTAAATTCCTCTACAAGGTATAATTGTACAATTTCACATCAAGCACTCTGAACAACTTTGTTTATATCTCTACCACTGCATTATGCAGACATTTTTGAAAATTGATGGAATTTCCCTTTGATCATCAAACTAAAGTCTTTCAAAGGCCTATGATACCTACCTCATATGCAACAGGTAAGAGAACATGGAAGAAAACAGAGAGGTAGTCACTGTTGGTCATCCCGACCTGTTTAAAACAAGTAATAAAAGGCTCCATTCACAATATTAAGGCGATAAAAAAAACATTGTGAAAATGATAACTTCTTTAACCATTTTGTGCGCCGACACACAAGTTACAGTGCAGTCAGTGAGTAACTGGACAGTTCTGATGTTTTGCCTTTCACTTCAGCACACTGAATTTGAAATTAGACAGTTACCAGGAAGTTCGAGTGCAAGATGTCAAGATTATTTTACATCACAGCCCTTTTCATACATAGTTCTTATATGTCAGGGGATAAGAAGCACTTAAATAATTGGTTACTCAGTTGTTTCTTGAGAAATTACATATTATCTTAAACAGAATTGTGAAGCTTACTTATTTGCAATTTTATTCACAATAAAACTTATTTTCCATTCATATGTCTTTTTATTTGGATTCCAAATAAATAGAGAATCCTGGAAGAACCACCTCTTTTTAAGAGAGTAGGGCTGTCACTCATCAGTGACTCTGAGACCAGTCTTGATAAAGAACCTGACAAATAAGCTACTTCCAAGTTTTAGAACATATGAAGCTGGACAGAGGTACCTTGTTCCAGGGCACGTTGATGTTGAAGCCGGTTCCTTTTCCCTTACCCACACTATCGTAGTCAGACTCGGCAAGGTTGGGCCAGAAACGCTGGTGCTCATAGCGATGCCATGAGAAATACAGCACACTATGAGACAGAGAGAGAAAGAAAAGGAAAGTGAAAAAATTGCGAAGCTGCTTGGTTATACTGACAAGATCTTGGTGCATTACTGCATGAGGTCTTGAATGCCCACCTAATTTGCTAAAATCAAGCTCACCTGGGGTCTTCTTCAAAGCAGTACTGAACTCCCTGCCCATGATGAACATCCCAATCCACGATCAACACCCTGAACACATACGCAGACATACACACAAAAGCCTCCTCAGCCAACACAAAACAGCTCAGTTCCATTTTAAACAGCTCACTCCATCTATTCTCTCATTACTCCACTCTTTACCTGTTGAGGTTGTAGTGCTTTTTGGCATAGAGAGCTGCAATGGCCACATTGTTGAACACACAGAATCCATTGGCTGCACTCCGTTGGCTGTGATGACCAGGGGGCCTGTAGAAAACATAGGAGAAAAACAGGAGAAAGAAAGAAGAAAAGGGCTGGGAAAAATAAAGCACTTGTGAATTTTGACAAATGGAAAAAAGGTCATTGATTTCATTAACGGTTACAGAACTCAAGCAGGCATCTTCAGATTTTACTGTAGAAATTAACATAGACACTTGCAAATAACTAAAGAATTGAATTCTAGCCAGGCTTACCTTACAAGGGCCATCCCATTTCTCACTTTCCCCGTCATTACACTGTCCACTAGTTGTAGTGTGGCCCCAATAGCCAACTTAGCACAATGGTAGATATTCTACACACGTGACAAGAACACATGAATAAACATAAAACAATGCATTTTAGGAGATTTTTTTTTTTGACTGGACACAAAGCAGTTGTATGAAAATGTTTGGGTGGCCCTGGTCAAATGGCATGTTTTGTTGATTTTAAGGAATAAGTTAACACATCCTCACACAATTACTGCTTATTGGCTAAATTTAACACATGCTATAAAATCTGTGCAAATGTTACGGTACATCTTGTATTTTACATATAATTTTGCAACATCTAAAACTCAAATAAATAGAAATTATGCACTAGTATTTACAGAACAATGTCATATTTAAGAGTGTTCTCTGTAGAGGATGTATGAACTTATTTTCACTTTGAAAATCAACAAAACATGTCATTTGACCAGGGGCGTTCAAACTTTCACATGTGCCTGTACAGTGAGTGATCCTTACAGGATGGAAGTAGACGTCTCCATATTGCTGAGTGAAGGTCATCAGATCTTCCAAGCTCAAGTAAGGGGTCTGTTTCACTGCTTCAAGATATTCTTTGCTGCATACAACACATAACAAAAAAAAAAAAACAATATGTTAAGACTATATGTAGTTACCAACACATACAAATAAGACCACTCTGATTAGCTGTGTTCAGTAGTTTGGATAATAGTTTATAAGATTTCACATAATATGAATCATGGCCTCAAAATGGACAGAGATAAAGGAAGTCTCCGCCATGTTTAATAGTCTAGTCTGAAGTAGAATGAGAATGTAAGAGAACTGCAATGGTAAGTAAATTGCGGTGTGTATGTGCTGAACAGTCTGTGGATAAAAAGCATCTCCAGTGGCACTAGCTTAGGTCTATCAATATACACAGCACTGCAACAGGAAAACACTGATAGTACACAGCTTATGATTTAGTTATAACTAATTGTGGAAAATGCCTCATAGCAAGAAGGGCCTGGGTTCGATTCCCTGGCTGGGCGACCAGGGTCCTCTGTGTGGAGTTTGCATGTTCACACGCTGCTGCTTTTCCTCCATGTGACTGACTGTTTCCCAATCTTATTTCAACACTCCTACGCAAATAATTCAGCTGACAATATTTTATTGGTGAAAGCAACTGAGTGACAGTGTCTCATTTCTTTGTTCCATCAGGTGAACGAGTAGACGTAGTTCTACAAGTACAGACTGTAGTCCATCTGTTTCTCTGCATACTTTGTTATCCCACCTTTACCCCATTCATCAATGACTAAGAGCCCCACAGGACCACCACAAGGCAGGTATTAATTGGGTGGTGAATCACTCTCAGTGCTGCAGTGACACTGATGTTGTTGGTGGTGGCGTGTTAGAGTGTTTGTGCTGTTGACTGCATCAGACACAGCAGTGCTGCTGGAGTTTTAAACAGCTCAGTGTCACTGCTGGACTAAGAATAGTCCACCAACCAAAAACATCCAGCCAGCAGCGTCCTGTGGGCAACGTCCTGTGACCACTGATGAAGGACTATAGCAGGCATGTCAAACTGGGGACCTTCCAGGCCAAAGTGCTGCAGAGATCCGAATTCAGTTCATGAAGGACTTGCTAACAAGCTGATGAGCTGAATCAGGTGTGTTTAATGAGGCAACATGCTAAGGTCTGCAGTGTTTTGGCCCATGAGGCCTGGAGCTTGACACGTGTGGACTAGAGAATGACCAACACAAACAGTGCAGCAGCAGATGAGCTACTGTCTCTGACTTCACATCTACAAGGTCGATCAGCAAGGTAGGAGTGTCTAATAGAGTGAACAGTGAGTGGACACAGTGTTTAAAACTCCAGCAGCACTGCTGTGTCTGATCCACTCGTACCAGCACAACACAAACTAACACACCACCACCACATCAGTGTTACTGCAGTGCTGAGAATGAACCACCACCCAAATAGTACCTGCTCTGTGGTGGTCCTGTGGGGGTCATGACCATTGAGGAATAGGGTAAAAGGGGGTCTAACAAAGCATGCAGAACAACTGGACTACAGTCTGTAACTGTAGAACTACAAAGTGCACCTATATGGTAAGTGGAGCTGATTGAATGGTGAGTGTAGATACAAGGAGGTGGTCCTCATAAAGTGCTCAGTGAGTGTCGTACATAAGTTACAATATCACAATATACCACACGAGATAAGAGTGTAGAGATTTAATGTAAAGACATAACGACACGAAGTTCCACCACAAACTTTAGTTACGCCAACTCAGTGAGGTATGAAGCGCGTGACAGTCGGTCTCACCTGTGAACCAGCAGAATCTCCTCCTCAGTGGCCTGGCGGACAGACAGCGGCTCACAGCGCTGCTCCAGACCTGCACTCTTCACAGCTTCATAACTCACTGTCAGCCGCTCCGGCGTCTCTATCTCACAGGCGGGACTGCACACAACAAACAAGGACGTTTTCCAGCGAACTGTTACAGGACCAACGCCCCCAGAAACCCACCTCTGCTGAGACTTACTCGGTCCAGAGCAGTTTGTAGCGGGTCATCTCCTCATCGTAGACGAACGCAGTACCGCTCATGATGACGGAGACCAGTCTGTACTGAAGACCACAGGAAACCTCACAAGCCCCACAGAGAGAAATGTCTCTTTCTAATATTCAAATATATCCTCCTCGCACGTCAGAGCGCTGCCATCTTGTCTTTCTGTGTGTACAGTTATGATAGCGAGACGCAGCTGGTGCACTGGCTCCCCCTGGAGGCTCCGCCGCTCACATACAAGCTGCCACATCTTGTATACCGTCCACGACCTGCCCAATAACACTGAACATAAACACAACCTCAGCTGTGGACAAAGTTAGAAAGTATATAGTGAGAAATGTAACAGAATAAAAAAAGTGCAGCGTTTTAGGGCTTAATGTCAGGCCTCAGCATGTATCATACTAATAATTATTATATCTGCACATTCTAAAACTGATTAAATGACACAGAGCTACACACAAAAAAATCATCTGATTTTACTCCATCAGTTTTTCAGCACTCTTCACCCAGAGTGTAAGAAACTCTAGGTGAGTGTAAGAAAAAGTCCTGTGTTTTCTCCCTGTTACTTGTATGTTTATGTAATTATGTGCTGTTACTACAAGAGTCAATTTCGAGATCTTAGTAAAAAAAAAAATAAAGGGAGGGGCATAAAACTGACATAAGTTTTATAATTAAATAAGAATTAGAATTAATCTTTTAACTGAAATGAGATTTAGACTGAAAACCCCTCTAACCTTTCCTTTTGCTTGAAAAAAGTTGGTCACACTTTATTTGGATGCTCCCCTAAAGATGATCTACAGAAACTTTATTTTAAGGTTAGGATTAGGGACAGATTTAATATAATCTTTCAAACGCAACTTCAAGGTCAGTTGCATTTAATAGATATTTAGTTGAATGGCTGAGCATCTAAAAAGCATCTATAGTAGACCATCCAAATAAAGAGTTAAAAAGTTAATGCATACAGTAATTTGCATACAACATTCTTTGCTTATTGCAGTATGGTTTTAATGGACAAATGTCATACACTGGTGTCAACTGTTTTTGATGTTTGCATTCATTTCCTCTGTTCACTTAAAGGAGGAAAACTACAACTACTAGAGTAGCATGCCTATATTATATATTATATATTATAAAACAAAGTAGAAGTTGTAAGACCATTTGAAGCTGTTTGCAGAGGGCAGAGTAACTCTAGAGAAAGAATGTATGAAGATCCTCTTCTTTAACCTGGCAGCCCCGCAGATCATTACACACAAGAACACATTAAGAAAGATGGACCACTGAAACACACACACACACACACACACACACACACACACACACACACACACACACACACACACACACATACACATCATTGCTGCAGTAACACAGGCCTAATAATGGACCTTAGAACAAACTTTAGTGTTTCATTAATGTGAGTTATTTATTACAGTTCTACACTTTCTTGTTCTTGAATGTTTTGTTACTGCAACAACCATTTTAGCAGTTATAATAAAATGTTTGTTGTGTAAAGTGTAATTGTTTTGTGTTTTGATCAGTAATATTTGGCGAAAACGGAGAGTTTACCTTTCTGGTTGCGGATCCATGTCACAAACTGCCACTTGACCTGAGCGTCCATCTTAAACTGGTGTAACCAGATCAGAGCCAGAACAGTAACCTAGACCCCCTTCTCCACCTGAACATCTCACTGCATGTACAACCTCGAAAATATATACATAAAAATGCCAGGTGCTGTACTCTGCAAGAAAATGTGTGTACCTCATCCTTTAAAACCTCTTATGCTCATGGGTATGTTTCGGTTTTTCCATCTGAATTTACATGCCCAAATCGTAAGGCAAATTATTCAGTAACTGCATGAAATAAATGTAAAGTTTTTTTTTTGTTTTGTTTTTTTTGTAAAAGCTTATGCTTTATGATAATAATAAATGATAATCATAAGTTCAACTTATAAAGCATCAAACCCAAGGACGCTTTACACAGTGTCAAAATAAATAAATAAATAAATAAAATCTAGAAGACTAAAGAGAAGAGAAAAGGAAGGTTTTTAGCAGAGATTTGAAGGAAGACAAAGAAGAGCAATTATGAAGAATTCCAGAGTTTGGGGGCAGCAGCACTGAAAGATCTGCCACCCATAGTAGAAAGTCTAATTGAGGAAACTGTAAGGAGTCCAGTCATAAACATAATGCAATATGCTTACAATTTACTGCTGAAAGCCAAAAATCTTAAATGCTCTTCGTATTTTTTTATAAAAATAATTTTTACAGAGCAGATCACTGAAGAGACACCATCTGTTTATAGTTTATAGCCCAGATTTGTGGAAAAATGGGTCAACTTTCACAGCTCTCATATGACACCCACCTTTTCAATGTAGCTTATGAAATATGAAAGTTATGAAGTAAAGAATATGACGAAGTGCGTTTTGGAACCACTGGTGGTTCCACAGAGTTAAAGAGGTTAAAAAACTGGCAAACCTCTGCTGTTTGGCATTGAGGAAAAACATAACGTCCAGCTCGGCTAACTAAATCAGATCTTGTAAATAAATCTGTCATATCCAACCTCAGTGAAGCTCTTCCAAATGTTATTATAGTTCTCTTCAGCAATGGCAAAACATGTCATAAGTGTAGCACTGAGCCATTAAGATTAGTACTTTACAAAAGTTAGTTTTGAAGAGATCATAACTGCTATCATAATTCACAAACTACAGCCGTTCAGTCGTGCATATACTTGCACAACAGAGGAGTGTTTGTACTGCTGCTATAGCTAATCTTTGCAGTATTTAAAGTTGCTGTTAATGACACTTTTACTGCCTCTGATACTGTCCTCTACAAGCTGTTGTGAAAAATGAATATACCTTTTTATCGTTTGAAGATTGTGAAAAAAAAATAGCGGGAAAAAGAGCACAGTTCGGATGTTTGTTTGCTTGTCAGTTAGTTACATGTGCGCTACTTTGTCCTGCTTTAGCTCATTGTCTGGTATAGAACTTGATATTGAAATTGCAGTCAGTAAAGCTGATTTGTCATGAGTAAGCCAACTTTGGCTAGCCAGGTTAAATCTTGGAGATTCTTGTGGAATGATCACTTAGCTAATATTTATGGACAGTATTTATTATAAGACTAATTACATTATTTTTAACGAATGCACAATTTATCTCAAAATTAGCAAAACCCATCCAGCTCAGTTTTACTGCTACGGTCATTCTTATTGTCATGACATAATATCAGTGGAAGAGGAAGAAATGAAAAAGTAACTTTTCCTCTGAGAAAACACAGAGTGTGCATGTAACTGAGTGTTACCCCGTATTCTCAGCAGGCTTGAGGGAGTAGTAGAGTGTGTTGGTGACTTCTTGATCCGCTAGACCCCATGTGTAACGCAAGGCCCACACAATCCTATCCAGCCCACTGAAGTTATTAATTTTAATTTTAATTTTAATTTTCTATTAATGTTAGCCTGTTTCACAATGCACTGCACTACAGTTCCCAGCATGCACTGCAACATTAAGTTTACTCCGACTTTCCAACCCCAACAACAGTATATGGGACAGCAGTTACCCCTCAGTTCTACACAATTCTATGCAATTCCCCACCAGTCATATCACCAAACACACTAGCTGCATTTCAGCTGCAGTTCAACCAATATAAACAATTAAGGTTAGCTCAGCAGCTCAGAAACTGAGCCTAAGTTTTAATGAACTTGTAGCAAAGAAAGGATGTCAGGTGTCTAGTTCAAGCAGATAAGTAGGTTTAAAAGACTGAGCTCCTGGGGACATTTAAACTTTTAATATTTCAAGTTCATGTAATATTTCAAAGTCTACTACAAGTGCCTGTGTTTCACTATTGAAGTTTGGAATAAACAATGGCCAGTTTGGGTTATATTATTATACTCATTAAAAAATGAAATAAAAACATTTTTTTTTGTCTGGCCCTCGGATTTGTTGAGATTTTCTAATATGGTCCTTTGACTTATTGAGTTTAACACCCCTGTGCTACGCGGTACTTCACTGTTACAGTCCCTTCAGAGTCTTAGCTCTGACTCTACGAAGAGAGAAAGATTTGTAGGGAGTTCATTTCCTGCCAGTACTTTTTCCCAGCATTGTTCCTCTATTTGCTTTCATTTTTTTCCTATTTGCCAATGGGAATTGGCAAATTGTTTAATAATTGGCTAATTGTTGGGGTTTCTCATTGTGTTTCTCTGAGTGTGTGTTTCTTCCCCTCTGTTGTCGCCATGCGCCTTTTGTTTTCTTGTGCCATGTGCTTTTGTTGTTGTTCTGTGTCTCCTCTCTGGTCCTGCCCCCTTTATCTACTCCACCAGCCTGTAGCTCCACCCCCCACATTAGTCCCAGGTGTTTCTTGTTTCCTCTCAGTGTATTTATACCCCTGTGTTTGTTCAATCTTCTTGTCTTGCATTGTGGATTTTGTGTTATTATGGACTTGCCTGTTCGACCACCCTCTGCTACTCCGTTTCTGGACTTTCTCTGTTAAATCCGATTTTAATAAATGCAACTCGCACTTGCATCCCGCTTCATCACCCCCACTGATACACTGATACATGCTTCCTGTGTAAAATAATACATTTTTGCAAACTGAAGTATAGTAGATATGCTAAAATATTAGAATCTTTACTGTTCTTAAGTTTTGCTAGCTGGGCTAGTAGTGCTCATAAAGGGAAAATTAGTCTAGTGCCAGTAAAGACAAGATCATGCAGCCGATGTCTGCCAGTTATCAAGTCACTGTCAAGGTCATATAATGTCTTTCGCAGAAGACACTTAAAATCAATGTATTCACTGTAGTGCGCATGCGTCAGACTCCACTGAATTCAGACTGCAGAGAGTGAAAAAGTGAAAGCTTGTTTTCCTGTAAATGTCAATTTGATAAAAGCTCTCACCTCTCCTTTCAGCTGAGCGTAAATCAGTGCCCTTTGACCCTGGAAGAGTGTGTTAACGGGTGGGCTCAGGCAGGTGGTGGACCTGCCCACTGGGACCGTCCTCTCTTCACTACTATCAACGACGGCTTGCTGTAGAGCATAGCAGAAACTGCATTACCTAAAAAAAAGAGAAGAAAACTTTACTTTGGGCTGCATGTGGTCAGTGCCTGTGATAAACTGGGCATGGTCACACATGCTTGATCAGACATCGGCAGAAAAGAGAAACAAATACACTTCTGTAGAAATCTAGCCTGAAATACCAT